GGGAAAGAGGTGAGGAGGGGCTCGTTGGACAGTTTTATTCTGATAAGAGCATTGTGGTGTTCCTCTGTCTGTCTGTTGATCTCTTTACTTCCTGTTGGTTTCCCCCTTCAGATGACGATGAGTCCTCACTTCAACCCATTTACTCCACCTTAAAAAAAGTGAGACTTCACAAACTCCAGCGTGGTTCGTATATCATTAAAAAGCCTGTGGACAATTTCACATGTTTTTTACCAATGTGCCCACACAGTTAACTGATGCTCCCTTAAATACAGCCACAGGTGTTTGAATACCACATCTTTATTCCAGCTGTGAGTTTTCTGACCCCAACAAAGTGCCACTGCTACTGTCATTTACCTCAGCAATGCTCATATTTGCTGTAATTCTAAAAAAAGATAGACAGAGGATTTAAAAGCTATCGACACAGAACTGTGATAAATTAAGATTACCCCCAGAATGTATATTTTTCTAAGCATCTGGTTCATATTGATGCTCCATGTTGCTACATGTGTTACATTCTCATATCAGCTCGTTGTTTCAAGTTTACATCTGTACTGCTGACCAAGGAAACTGTAGTTTTTACAATGTAACAAATGATCTCTGGATCATTTCTGGATAACAACAAGTTAAATGACAATGTTCACAATGTTGGGAGAGCTATGGACTGTAATCAGAATGAGAAACAGGGATGTCTTCTGTTGCTAATGAAATAGATGCTGATATAAGTAACAGTTCATCATCCAGTTAATGTCAGTCTGAAAGAGTGTTAGCATCACTTAGAGACTTTAACGTGGATTGCACTCATAAAATGAGAGTGCTGGAGAGAACAATTATCACAGTTTTTGTGTCTTAACATGAAAATGAATTTCACTAGTTTCTAAAACACAGCCTGAATCTCTGAATCCAACAGCAACAAAAAGACTCAACAGAAGAGGAACTGTATTCTCCTGTTCGGAAGGTGCGACTGATGGTAATTATAAAAAAAAGTGGCCCTTGAGTTTAGAATATTTTACCACACATATATCCTTTGTTTTTTTCTGTCTTACAGGCCACAAAGAGCAGAGAGACCTGAGTGATGAAAGGAGGAATTATTAGAAATATTGCTGAATTGTAAAGCTTTGTGTTGAACTTATTTGTGTGTGGTTAGTCATTTCATTGTAGTGTATTATGTATTAATAGAACGTTTCACAGTAGAAGTCAACAACAATATGTCTATATGAACATCAAGCCCTTCATATCTCAGATTGTTCGATTTGTGTTTCCTGTTCACTCTGTAACATAACAAATTTAAGATAAATATAAATATACAATTAAACAAATGAAATGGCCGTGTAGACCTGCACTTTGGAGACGCTTTAATAGATTGGAAATAAAGTTAGGCAGTACAGGACGAGTACAGTTATTATATAATTATATATCATTACATTGCATTTAACAACTTTTTCTGCTGTCACTTTGTGAGAAGATGTAGTTACTAACCCTTCAACCAAAAGACTTCAAACAAAGAATTATGTTTACAACTAAATAATATCTAATGATACAGTGGGTACGGAAAGTATTCAGACCCCTTTACATTTTTCACTCTTTGTTTCATTGCAGCCGTTTGCTATTTCTCATTAATGTACACTCAGCACCCCATCTTGACATAAAAACAGAAATGTAGAAATTTTTGCAAATTTATTAAAAAAGAAAAACTGAAATATCACACTGGTCATAAGTATTCAGACCCTTTGCTGTGACACTCATATTTAACTCACATGCTGTCCATTTCTTCTGATCCTCCTTGAGATGGTCCTGCTCCTTCACTGGAGTCTAGCTGCGTTTAATTAAACTGATTGGACTTGATTAGGAAAGGCACACACCTGTCTATATAAGACCTTATAGCTCACAGTGCATGTCAGAGCAAATGAGAATCATGAGGTCGAAGGAACTGCCCAAGGAGCTCAGAGACAGAATTGTGGCAAGGCACAGATCTGGCCAAGGTTACAAAAGAATGTCTGCAGCACTCAAGGTTCCTAAGAGCACAGTGGCCTCCATAATCCTTAAATGGAAGAAGTTTGGGACGACCAGCACTCTTCCTAGACCTGGCCGTCCAGCCAAACTGAGCAATTTAATTGATTGAATTTAATTAAACACAGCTGGACTCCAATGAAGGAGCAGAACCATCTCAAGGAGGATCAGAAGAAATGGACAGCATGTGAGTTAAATATGAGTGTCACAGCAAAGGGTCTGAATACTTATGACCATGTGATATTTCAGTTTTTTTTTAATAAATTTGCAAAAATTTCTACATTTGTTTTTTTCTGTCAAGATGGGGTGCTGAGTGTACATTAATGAGAAATAAAATGAACTTTTTGATTTTAGCAAATGGCTGCAATGAAACAAAGAGTGAAAATTTTAAAGTGGTCTGAATACTTTCCGTACCCACTGTATATTTGAATATTAACAGGCATTATTCCGGGTGCAGGTGGGGTGTGTTTTTTTTTGGTTTTTTTTTTTTGTCTTTTCGTTTCACTTTGTATGTATATTTTAGGAAAGGGCTTTGGCTCTCGGGGTAGATTAAAGTTTATGTGGAAAAATGGCATATATTCGTTTTAGAGGAGGCCTAACTGAATTGTGAGAGGGAGCATAAATGGAAAACACATTAGTGAATGTGTGCTATGCTGGCAGCGTGGCTTTAGGGATGGCAGTGTCAGTCAGTAAGTCCACCACTTTGGCCCTGAATATCTCAGCAACTATGATGGACTGTACATTAACCTCAGTTCTGTTCTTAATAAAACATTATTAGTAGTTAAACTGTAATTGAGTTTTTCCACTGTATTTTACTTTATATTCCACTATATTTATTAGTTACGTTGCATATTCCAATTGTTGATACAAAAAATAAATCAGTTAATGAATTCTGATTGAATTCTGATATTATTATAGATTGAGTTACCCATTCAGCCATTCTACCTGAATTAACTACGCTGAGTCCAGTAAGGAACTCATAATTACAACAACTGGCAGCATACCTGGCAGGAAGCCGCAGGGGATTGTGGGATAATTCTCCATATTTATAATTTAAAAGATGTTATATTATGTGAAGTTGAATTAGAGGTTGAAGAGGCTGACATTGTAATTAAAACATCACTGGTTTGAGTTTCTGTCCAAATAAATGTTCATTAATTCAAAAAGATTATTATCTGATTGTTTGGTTCAAACCTTTAGAGGATACAATTATTTACCCAGAAAACAAACATGTGCAAAGCATGATGGGAATATTTACAGTGTTTCAGATTAATCTTTTGGATTAGAAAACTGAAATGTGTTAATCTTTATTCATTCAGATACTTTCAACAATAATCCACAAATATAAAATCAGTTTTTCCTTCAGAACATCAGCTTGTTGCAGAGTAACAGCATTATGAGCTTGTCCACCAGAGGGCACCGACGGTCACAACTCTTTCGTTCACCATCAGTCACAAACTGCGACTCTTCAGTTTGGATCTCTGTGGGTTGAAAAGCCTCAAATATATCACTGTTCACTCACAGCAAAAGTTTCAGCCATTCATCAGGGCAAATAAACAATAGTTGCCTCAGTGTGGTTATACCATATTCACTGTGCAATCTATTGCCCATGTGCAACTGCTGCTACTATTTATGTTATCTGTTGTTGTGGATTCTTGTTTTTTTCTCTTGTACAGTGTTTTTTATTATTTCCCTACCCTTACTGTTTTTATACTGTTTTTTTTTTTTCTCTATCCACTTTGCTGCTGTAACATTGGAATTTCCCCATTGTGGGACAAATAAAGGAATATCTATCTTTCTATCTAAGTAGTCACATGATCAGTGTGTGACAGTTGCGTTGAGACAATTCATGGATGACTTGAATAAAACCTTACAGAAAGACAAGATCATACTTTGTATGCTTTATTAAACAAATTGCCACCACAGTAGTCAGTAACTGAGTATATTTCACTGACTGTTTCTGCCCAATAAAACTATAACTAACTACTTTTACTAAAAGAAGGATCTAAATACAGGGGTTACAGACTGAATAAATACATAATAAAGTAGATCAGTTTAACATTGTCTGATGGACTGTAAAATATATACTATTTTAATAGTATATATATATCAACAGATCAAAATGATCTACTTGGTTTGATTCACTGACATAAAGATGAGTGTACAAAAATAATAAAAATCAATAAACTTAGTCTCCTATCTACACATAAAAACCCTTTTTCCCTCTGTATTACTATTCCTTTTATTCAGCAGGAGCTATGGGGTTACCAACACCTGTTCTAGGGTAGTATGTTCTGCAGGGTAGCTCAAATTCAAAGCTTTCATTGCTTATACAGAGTATGCATGATAATAACATAAGCAGCTACATTTTAAAAAAGATTCTCATTGGTTATGAAGAGTGTGCATTCACAGAGCATTTATGACCTACGTAAGCAGGATGAGGTTTCTGTCTCTTAAGAAAAGTCAAAAATAGCAAAAATGAAGGTTTGTGATTGTGGAATGCCAACAATAAAATCAAGTGAATGATGTAGAAGTCATTAGCTTCAGCAGAGGAATAATCAGTAAAAGCTTAAACTTATTAGTCTGACTTTATATCTGTGCTGTTCGGAAATCCACCAACTCTCTGAACTTTACAGCCTTTCATTGACTCTTTACTTTGACAATATTGATGTGGTTCCCAGCATCATTTATTATCGAGAATCATCCCAATGATGTTGAAGTTCAACGGCACTACATTTGTTTGTACATTCCTTCCAAAGATGATGAATTTAGTTTGTTCAAATCGAGGCCACTCTTGTAATTATTCTTCCTGTTTTAAGGCAACACAATTTTTGAAAGAGTAGATTATCTTTCCTCTAGCACCCCCCCTCAAAACTCAGACCCTACCTACATTCTGAGATAGCACCCCCCCCCCTCGGGTCTGATTTGTCTCGTATAGTTTCTTAGTTTTTTTCTATCTCTGCGTCTGCAGGCTGCAAATTATCCCCAAACATTCATCCCTTCATCCCAGCATCCTTTGCTCTCTCTTCCTCTCTATCACAGTAAACTCCCTCCTACAGAGAACACAGAAATGCTGAGGAGTCAGACCAGTCACACCAGAACCCAAATCCAGGATAAAGAGGTTCAGTGAATGTGGTGTTGAAGGTGTGGAGGTGGATCAGTGTGTCAGAGGAGACTGTGTAGAAGGACAGAGTGCCAGAGGGACAGTCCACATACACTGCTACTCTACCAGAGGAGGACGAGGAGGGAGATGGCTGTTCTTCTGTCGTTGTGCCAGACAGAGTAACCATCATTATAGCAGCTCAGACACCAAGACTGACCATTCCTTCCAAACAAACCATTAGCTCCATTTCCTCTCCTGCTGATTCCTCTGTAACTCACTGATATAGAAACTCCCTCCTCTCCCACTCCACCTCCCAGTAACAGCGACCAGTCAGACCATTTCTACACAGCAGCTGAGGAAAGTAGTCAAATTTCTCTGGATGATCAGGATATAACTGATCCTCCCCACATATCATCTTCCTGTTGTTGTCAGACAGTTTGATCTTTCTGTTCACTGTGTTTGTGTCGACTGTGAGTTCACAGGAATCTGATGGAGAGAACAAGACACAATACAGCTGCAGTTATTGATTGATCACTCTGATTCCAAATGTGAAAAACTTAAATAAAAACACAATGCAATGATTTGCAAATCCTTTTTTGACCCATATCCAAATAGATACAGTAGAAACAACATATACAGTGGGTACGGAAAGAATTCAGACCCCTTTAGAACCCAAAGATCACTGTGGCTGAGCTCCAGAGATGCAGTAGGGAGATGGGAGAAAGTTCCACAAAGTCAACTATCACTGCAGCCCTGCACCAGTCAGGGCTTTATGGCAGAGTGGCCCGACGGAAGCCTCTCCTCAGTGCAAGACATATGAAAGCCCGCATAGAGTTTGCCAAAAACACATGAAGGACTCCCAGACTATGAGAAATAAGATTCTCTGGTCTGATGAGACCAAGATTGAACTTTTTGGCTTAATTCTAAGCGGTATGTGTGGAGAAAACCAGGCACTGCTCATCACCTGCCCAATACAATCCCAACAGTGAAACATGGTGGTGGCAGCATTATGCTGTGGGGGTGTTTTTCAGCTGCAGGGACAGGACGACTGGTTGCAATTGAAGGAAAGATGAATGCGGCCAAGTACAGAGATATCCTGGAAGAAAACCTCTTCCAGAGTGCTCAGGACCTCAGACTGGGCCGAAGGTTCACCTTCCAACAAGACAATAACCCTAAGTACACAGCTAAAATAACAAAGGAGTGACTTGAACAACTCTGTGACCATTCTTGACTGGCCCAGCCAGAGCCCCTGACCTAAACCCAATTGAGCATCTCTGGAGAGATCTGAAAATGGCTGTCCACCAACGTTCACCATCCAACCTGACAGAACTGGAGAGGATCTGCAAGGAAGAATGGCAGAGGATCCCCAAATCCAGGAGTGAAAAACCTGTTGCATCATTCCCAAGAAGACTCATGGCTGTAGAAGCTCAAAAGGGTGCTTCTACTCAATACTGAACAAAGGGTCTGAATACTTATGACCATGTGATATTTCAGTTTTTCTTTTTTAATAAATTTGCAAAAAATTCTACATTTCTGTTTTTTTCTGTCAAGATGGGGTGCTGAGTGTACATTAATGAGAAATAAAATGAACTTTTTTGATTTTAGCAAATGGCTGCAATGAAACAAAGAGTGAAAAAAATAATGGGGTCTGAATACTTTCCGTACCCACTGTATATCATTCAAATGAAAGAACTTAGGTTCATCATTAACAGGTTAATTGGTAGCAGGTGACAGTGTCATCATAGGGTATGAAAGGGGCATCCTGGAAAGGCTCAGTGGTTCACAAGCAAGGATGGTCTGTAAAAAGTATGAGGGCTAATAGTCCAACAGTTTAAGAACAACTGTGAAGAAGATGTAGCTTGGCGACAGAGCTGAGGAGCTAATGCCTCTTTATGTAATCTCCACATTTCTGTTCAGTACAGTAATGTTAGAAACATGTTGCAAACTACCAACCAAAGCAAACTTATCTGCTTTGCTTCCGACTTATACTAAAAATATTCCATGACACTCAATTAATAGTAATACAGTTGACTAAAATATACCAGAGGAAATGATTAGAAAACCAGTGCTACAACGATGAAAGCTATATTCAACCCCTTTACTGACTTGTGCTAGATGCACTTCACCAATGACAGCTGGACTGGGAATAGAGATGTAACATACATCTTTTCCAGGTGAATCTAGCAGATGTGTGTTAGAAAGAGGGCATAATCTTGGCGTGTTCATGAGTCATGGTGGAGTGAGGCAAAGTTCAGGTAGCCTAAACCCTAACCACTAGAGGGGGTCTTTTTCAGAACAGTGTTTCTAAACACAGTTTCAAGGAATTGTTTTCATCATCTACAATCCATAATATTATTAAAAGATTCAGAGAATCTGGAGAAATCTCTGCACCTAAAGGGGCCAAAAACCAATCATCAGTCAGTCAAGCTCATGAAGTTGGCAGATGATAATACCCTCACCAGACTCTTCTGGTGGAGTTGAGTCCACCTACAGGTGGGAGATTGACCATCTGGTGACCTAGTGCAGCCAGAACAACCTGGAGCACACGCTGTACTTAATTCCTAGGGGAGTTGGATTGGATCGACTTCATGTTTAACAACCACAGCACTGCATCAGTATACCAAGGCAAATTCCTTGTATATGAAACCTAATTGGCAATAAACTTGATTTTGATTCTGATTCTGTTACATTCGATCACTCAGGTGGGACTGCATTAAAAAACAGCATGATTGTATAAAGGATATTTCTACATGGGCCCAGGTTCAGCGCTGCATCTACAAATACAAGTTAAGACTCTACCATGCAAAGTGATAGTTGTACTGTATATCATCAACATCCGGAAAAGTGTGCTGTGGTCTAATGAGTCCCTATTTCAAACTGTTTTTGGATATCAACGATGTGTCTTCTGGGATAACTGTGTGGCGCATTATGAAGCGCAAAATGGACAATGGAGACCCTGAACTGTTCAGCAATTATAACGAATATTTAAGTAAGAATGTTAAATTTCACCTTTAACTTAAACAATCATTTTGATCATCAAAGTCGAGTCTGTAGGATTTCGTGGCATCTAGTATTGTATTTGCTAATTGCAAACCCTTCTCCCTCACCCTCTTTTTCCTAGCACGACGAAGAAACTATGATGGCCACGAAACTCGTGAAAAATGTGAAAGTACCTGTCTAGAGTCAGTGTATGGTTTGTCCGTTCTGGGCAAAACATGAAACATACCAGTTCAACATGGCGGATTCCACCGGAATAGGACCCGCTCCCTCTGTACATCTCATTCTAAGGTAACAGTTATTCATCATTTTTATTTATTATACTTATTTTCAGCTGATTATTCACTAATGATAACATACCTGTGAATATTACATTTCTAGATATTAGACCATTAAATATCTTGTCTTTGTACTGTTTTCAATTGAAAATAGGTCAAACGGGATTGGCAAATTGCAAATGCATTCAGTTTTGGAATCAGGGTACTATCTGCTGATCATTGATTGGCAGTTTGATGATGACATCAGAGCTGTGAATGAGTGATGTCACAGTGTGAAGATGGTTGAATGTGTGCTGCTTTGTTTTCACACTTACACTTCCTCAGACCTGGTCTCAACCATCGGACTCCAGCAGGCTCCACCCTGAAAGGAGGAGGGGGGTCAGAGCAGCATGGAAACATGGACATTACATCGCTCTCATACACAGAGGTTATTCTCTATAAATGGACTTACATCTTCACATAGAGCACTTATTATTAATCAGCTGATAGTCTTTCAGAGAAAGTAGCCTGAAATTGCAGCAGAGCCACAAAACCTCTTATGGAGGAGGTTAGATAAACAGCAATTTCTTTTTTTCATTTTCTCTTTATTTAGAATCACACTTAACACATTCCACATAGTTTGGATGGAAATATACAGTGATTCACCTTACAATTTTTTTTATATATAAAAATATATATGCTAAGGCGAGAATAAAATAAAAAATTACGAGCAGTTAAACAAAAGAAGGGCGTTTAGGAGCAATATACATTTTCCACTTTTCCCAAATTTCCTCAAATCAAGTTTTCTCTGGTCTCACAGAAAAGGTAATTATTTCCATAACATAGATCTCGTAAATAATGTCATACCATTCCTCTATAGATGGGCTATTTGGCTTAAGCCATTTCTTTGTAATTGCTTTTTTAGCAGCTACGCTCAGAATACCAAACAAGTATTTTGTTTTACTATTTACAGATGTTGAGTGTAGAAAACCAAAGAGAAGTTCGTCCCAATTAAAAGCAATTTTCGTTCCAAATATCATCACTAATTCTGTGTAGACCTTATGCCAGAAAACATTTACAATTGGACAGGCCCAGAACAAGTGGTAATGGTTTGCTTCCTGAGAACCACATTTTCTCCAGCAACTGGAGGAACCTGAGTGATGAGACTGCTGAACAGGTGAAATAAAATATCTGCTGAGACTCTTCCAGCCAAACACTCTCCAAGAGATTGAGCTTGATATCTTCCACTGAAATTCACAATATTTGGTCCAGACTTCCTCTGTGATGCAACCGTTGGTTTCGCTTTTTGTTTAATGTAGATGTTACTATTCGTCTTAACTACTTGGAGTCCCTTAACTAAGTATTTGGGTCTTTTGACTATTCAATTTGTACCCCAAGACTGCGTCAAAGACATCCAGAAAAGACATTAGTTTCAATATTGAAGTCTCTGGGTGTGACAAATAGATTAAAATGTCGTCCACAAACAGATATTTTATGTTCTAGTCCTAGCATTTTTATACCTGTAATGCTATTATCTTGAGTAATCCTTTGGCTTAAAGCTTCAATAAATCAATAAATATTGCAAAAAGTAGAGGACTAATTGGACAGCCCTTTGGTCCGTGTATGTTTTGGTCATTGGATTTTCCTTTCAGAAACGGATATTAAAAAACAGAAAACGAGTGGTTATTTGATTTTCGTTTTAAAATACAAAAATTAAAATTGAAATACAAGGCGTTTTTCTTTTTGATGGTCAAAAAGGGATGAGCGAACTTAAAAAAATTATTCGATTTTCATTTTCTATTTCATATAACAAAAAAATAAAATCACTAGAAAACAGAAACAGAAAAAAGGCCTGTTTTTTCATATTCTGAGACCGGATGTTGTCATTTACAGGACGGTGCTGTGTAGAAGAAACAGTAGGCTAGTAGACTGCGGTCAATCCAGCCGTGAGTCCGATCTCCGTGGTCAAATCAGCCGCACCTAAATGTCCAGTGTACAAGTATTCTCAGCATTATGGTAAATGCGGAGAAACAGCGTATATAGGTTTTCAAAATAAAGGTATTTAGAACAGTAAGCTATAATTAAAATATGTTACATTAAAGTGTTTTATGCGCCCCTAATGAATAAAAAAAAACTTTATATCAAGTATCTTTACTGCACCAGTGTGGAGAAATGCCAAAATAAAAGTCTCATATTTATGCCTCCAGAGATTGCATATTTGACCATATTTGAGCTACTGTAAAAACATATTGCTCAGTGTTTCCTGGCTACTGATGGTGTATTTGACTTTACACATATGAGACTACAAACATACTTAATATCAAGCATTTTTACTGTACCAATTTGGAGAAATTGAAGAATAAAAGTCCCATATTTATACTTCCAGATTCCATATTTTCTTATATTTGAGCTACTGTAAAAAAAAACTGTATGTGGAACCACCTGCAACAGCTGTCACACTGAATAATATAAAAAATAATATGTGAGGAAGAGACAGTAGGTACAATGGTGTTTTGAAGTTAAACCTAATTCTTTTTCCCTTTTACCTACAAATGGACACAGCAGAGCAGCAAAATAAGAAGAATGTGGACTGGCATTTCATTTTGTGTGAAAAGTAAACAAATTAGAATTGTGTAGGATTTTGTGTTTAGTGTTTAGTGTTTATATTATCAAGATGTTAAACATTTGTGTGAAATTTTGTCATGATTACTGCAGCATTATTGAAGTATAATGAAAATGCTTCACCCATAGCCTGGAAATGTTGAGCAATATGTTTTTACAGTAGCTCAAAAATATAAGAAAATATGGAATCTGGAAGTATAAATATGGGACTTTTATTCTTCAATTTCTCCAAATTGGTACAGTAAAAATGCTTGATATTAAGTATGTTTGTACTCTCATATGTGTAAAAGTCAAATATACCATCAGTAGCCAGGAAACACTGAGTAATATGTTTTTACAGTACCTCAAATATGGTCAAATATGCAATCTCTGGAGGCATAAATATGAGACTTTTATTTTGGCATTTCTCCACACTGGTGCAGTAAAGATACTTGATATAAAGTTTTTTTTTATTCATCAGTGGCACAAGACTTTAATGTAACATATTTTAATTATAGCTTACTGTTCTAAATACCTTTATTTTGAAAACCAGAAGTAAATACGCTGTTTCTCCGCATTTACCATAATGCTGAGAATACTTGTACACTCTAAATTTAAGTGCGGCTGATTTGACCACGGAGATCGGACTCACGGCTGGATTGACCGCAGTCTACTAGCCTACTGTTTCTTCTACACAGCACCGTCCTGTAAATGACAACATCCGGTCTCAGAATATGAAACAACAGGCCTTTTTTCTGTTTCTGTTTTCTAGTGATTTTATTTTTTGTTATATGAAATAGAAAATGAAAATCGAATAATTTTTTAAATTTCGCTCATCCCTTTCTGACCATGAAAAAGAAAAACGCCTTGTATTTCAATTTTAATTTTTGTATTTTAAAACGAAAATCAAATAAGCACTCGTTTTCTGTTTTTTAATACCCGTTTCTGAAAGGAAAATCCAATGACCAAAACATACACGGACCCCCTTTCTAGTCCCTCTTTCCAGACCAAATGAGCTTGAGATTTTCTCATTTATTTTTACCCTTGCCCTTGGGTCATTATATAGTGCTCGAATGGTCATGATAAAAGTCTGATGAAATCCAAATTTCCATAATACGCTAAATAGAAACTCCCAATTGACCCGATCGAAAGCCTTTTCTGCGTCAAGGCTCAGCAAGACTGCCTGGGTGTTATTTTTAACTATATGTTCGGTAACATGGAGTTTTCTACGGATATTGTCCTGAGTCTGCCTTTGTTGTAGAAAACCTGTCTGATCCAAACTTATTATCTGGGGAAGGATGTTTTCAAGTCTTTTTGCCAAAATATGAGTGATGATCTTATAGTCCTGGTTCAGTGCACTTATCGGCTGATAGCTGCCACAATCAAGCATATCTTTACCCTCTTTCGGTATTAAAGAAATCACTGCTTCTCTCCAAGAAGGTGGAGTTATGCCAGTCTTGAGTACATGATTATATGTGACTTCATCATACGAATCAGGAGGTCTTTCATTTCCTTATACCACTCAGATGGGTACCCATCTGGACCAGCAGCCTTATTTGGTTTCAAGTTTTCTTCATCTGTAATTACCCCGATTAGAGCCCTATTTTGATCATCCTTCACTTTTGGTAATTTTATCAGGTTGAAGAAAGCATCCATCCTTGTTTCATCTATTCTAGGCTGAGAGTATAGGTTTTTTATAAAAGGTTTCAAATGATTGATGAATTTCTTTAGTTTTACAGTGTATAGAATTTGTTGTAGGGTCCTTTATTTTGAAAATTGTGTTTTCTGCTTGTCGCTTTTTAGCCTGTAAACCAGTCCAAGCCAATCCCTTTGCGTGGAGCCTGTATCCTCGCAGGTACCATGTTTACTGTGTCTTCCGCCGTATCGCCAAGTCAGCTGGCTGACTCGGTCCAGGAGGGACGTCAGAGTTTTTAAAATGGTCACCGATATCCCCCTCTCTGCCATGTCTGCCGTCGCCACCTCCGCCGAGTTATAGATGACCGTACCGTAAAACACCCTCAGTCTGGCCGGAAACGGAGTCTGAAATCTTATATTTTTCTCCTTCAGGGCGGCTTTCACCTCTTTATATTCCCTTTGCTTCCTCAGCAGCTCCGGTGCGTAGTCGTGATCCAGGTGTACCCTCTTTCCTTGAAAATCAAACCCCTTCCACTCCCAGGCTATTCTCAGCATGTCCTGCTTCGTTCTGTAACTTGAAAACTTGTCCACAATGGATCTCGACAGCGTTTCGGTCGGGGGCTTCGGCGCGAGCGTCCGGTGCGCTCTCTAAATATGTAGTGCAGTAGTGGGGGGGGAGCCCTTCATTAATAAATCCTTCACAAAAGAAATCATTGTGGTGACATTATCTTCAGCTCCTTCTTTTACCCCATGTAGCCTGATTTAGCTTCCATCTGCTCCTGAAGTTTCGCCAGCTGCGCCAATACATCCTCCATTGACTGGATCCGTGTCTCGGCCGTAGTGATCTGCTCCTCGATTTCTTCCACTCTTTTGTTCATGTTGTTAATATCTTCTTTAATGCTGTTTAATTGCTGAGTGGAGTCTCTCCTGAATTCTCACAGCTCTTTTAGAATAACACCTAGGTGTACGCCGTGGCTTAGCTCCGAGTCCGTGTCCACGTGCTCGTCTTCCTCCATATTGCTGCGAGCTTGTGATATCTTATCATCCTCCTCTTCGTCGAGGTTTCTACTTTTAGTGTGTTTCTTCTTGTCTTTTTGGACATCATTTTAGGCATTATTATCGGGACCTGTCGCTCTCGATAAACAGCAATTTCATCACCTCACCTTGGCACGATGCTGGTTACTGTTCCCTGACTAATTCTGACTGATCATCTGATGTAAGACACAAACAGTTTGCTGAAAAAAAAAAAAACTGTGCAAATTGATGTGCAAAATACCGATAGGAATGGACAATTTCTATCTTACTGTTTACTGTTTTACACCGTTTATTGTAGCTACTGTTAATTTTATATATATATATATATATATTGTATCTTCTATTTTATTTTTGATTCTATTCTTAAGGTTAGGGATTTTAATTTTAGCCTCATGCATGTTTAATGTATACTTTATATTTTATCTCCTATTTTATTTTTAATTCTATTCTTAAGGTTAGGCGTTAAAATTTTTAGTCTAATGTATGTTTAATGTATGTTTTGTATTTTGTATGCTACTGGATACTTGAATTTCCCTCGGGATAAATAAAGTATCTATCTATCTATCTATCTATCTATCTATCTATCTATCTAATAGACCTCTCCATACCTGAGACTGTCCAGTCTCCACTGTGGATCCTCTGGTGCAGCAGACAGTAGCGCCACTCCTGAGTCTCCTGGATGATTGTAGCTGAGGTCCAGCTCTCTCAGATGGGAGGGGTTGGAGTTCAGAGCTGAGGCCAGAAAAGCACAGCCTTCCTCTGTGATCAGACAGCTTGACAGCCTGAAAAACACACAAAACAACACAAACTGAGGGTGCTATGAAGGTTACTGCAATACAACAGTACCGAAGCCTACTGTTGAGCTCATTACTTCTATCATCACATGGTATTACAGTAACCTGGCCTTATGTACCCAGCTGCTGTGTTGTCTCCTGTTGGCGCCCTACTACTCTTGAAGCAGCGCATCCTTCACTAGAACACTGCTTTTTAGACTACTTGGACCTTTAAATATGAAGACTCTGCCCTTTTCCTTAAGGTTCATGGTTTGCATGCTGCTAATGAGAGTAAACATGGTTACAAACACAAAGCCTGCCATCTGACTTTACAAGGACCAGCAAGGACTGTTAGACTTAATTCTTAATTCTGTTTAACACACTGTTAATCTAATTTCACACACACAAAAACAAAACCACACACGCAGATACAAAATTCTGCCTGACATGTTCCTTTATCTCTGACCAACATAATGTTTCTGGCTCAGCTGAACATATTTTCAAAACAAAAACACATTCCTTCTGGCACGTAACCACACACACACCTTTATCTTTAGATTTCATGTTGTGTGTTTTTCCAGTTTTGCGTGTGATTGACAGCAAGGACAAACATGGCCATTGATGTAGGTTTTTTGGTTGCTGAAGGAAGGGAAGGGACTGAGGGCAGACATGGATAGAGTCTAGAAACTAACTAAAGACCTTACTCAGGTGAGGAATATCTCCATTTATTGAACAGAAATGGTAACTGATTAATCCTGACCTGAGAGTTTCCAGTGTACAATGTGGACTCTTGAGTCCAGTAGACAAGAGCTTCAGTCCTGAATCCTGCAGGTTGTTGTTACTCAGGTCCAGCTCTCTCAGATTAGAGGACTGGGAGCTGAGAACCGAGGACAGAGCTGCACAGCTTCTCTCTGAGAGGTTACAGCCACTCAGTCTGTAGAGACAATACAAAGGAAAATAAAAGTAGTAAGGTTTATTATTTCCTGTTATATAGCAGAAAATATAGCAGACTCTTTAAAATGTGACCAATAAATCCAACTCTGTCTGTACTTACAGAGCTTTGTTGGAGGCTTTGACCACTGGCAGCAGCCTCAGAAGAGCCTCCTCTGAACCAGAGTATTTCTTCAGGTCAAACGCATCCAGATCTGTTTCTGATGACAGTAAGATGAAGACCAGAGCTGACCACTGAGCAGGAGACAGTTTATCTATGGAGAGACTTCCTGAACTCAAGTACTGTTGGATCTCCTCCACTAGAGAATGATCATTCAGTTCATTCAGACAGTGGAACAGATTGATGCTTCTCTCTGCAGAGAGATTCTCACTGATCTTCTTCTTGATGTACTGGACTGTTTCCTGATTGGTCTGTGAGCTACTTCCTGTCTGTGTCAGCAGACCTCGTAGGAGATTATGATTGGTCTGCAGTGAAAGGCCCAGGAGGAAGCGGAGGAACAAGTCCAGATGTCCATTTCGACTCTGTAAGGCCTTGTCCACAGCACTCTGGTAGAATTGTGTCTCTGCAGATTCATCTTTTCTTGTTTCAAACTTCTGGGAGGTTGATTGTTGTTCTGCCAGCAGATTGACTCCAGAGTTGATGAATGTCAGATGGACATGAAGAGCAGCCAGAAACTCCTGAACACTCAGATGGACGAAGCAGAAGACCTTGTCCTGGTACAGTCCTCTCTCCTCTATAAAGATCTGTGTGAACACTCCTGAGTACACTGAGGCTGCTCCGATATCGATGTCACACTCTGTCAGGTCTGATTTATAGAAGATCAGGTTGCCTTTCTGCAGCTGCTCAAAAGCCAGTTTTCCCAGAGACTCAATCATCTTCCTTGTCTCTGGACTCCATTGTGGATCTGTCTCAGCTCCTCCATCATACTTTACGTTCTTCACTTTGGACTGAACCACCAGGAAGTGGATGAACATCTCAGTCAGGCTCTTGGGCAGCTCTCCTCCCTCTCTGGTCTTCAACACATCCTCCAGAACTGTAGCAGTGATCCAGCAGAAGACTGGGATGTGGCACATGATGTGGACGCTTCGTGATGTCTTGATGTGGGAGATGATTCTGCTGGCCTGCTTCTGATCTCTGAACCTCTTCCTGAAGTACTCCTTCTTCTGTGGGTCAGTGAACCCTCTGACCTCTGTCATCATGTCAACACACTCAGGAGGGATCTGATTGGCTGCTGCAGGTCGTGTGGTTATCCAGAGACGAGCAGAGGGAAGCAGTTTTCCCCTGATGAGGTTTGTCAGCAGCACATGCACTGAGGTGGACTCTGTAACATCAGTCAGGATCTCAGTGTTGTTGAAGTCCAGAGGAGGTCGACATTCATCCAGACCGTCAAAGATGAACACAACCTGGAACTCTTCAAACCTGTAGATTCCTGCTTCTTTGGTTTCAGTAAAGAAGTGATGAACAAGTTCCACCAAGCTGAACTTTTTCTCTTTCAGCACATTCAGCTCTCTGAAAGTGAATGGAAATGTGAACTGTATGTCTTGGTTGGCTTTGTCTTCAGCCCAGTCCAGAGTGAACTTCTGTGTTAAAACTGTTTTCCCAATGCCAGCCACTCCCTTTGTCATCACTGTTCTGATTGGTTTATCTCTTCCAGGTGAGGGTTTAAAGATGTCTTCTTGTCTGATTGTTGTTTCTGGTCTGTTTGGTTTCCTGGATGCTGTTTCAATCTGTCTGACCTCATGTTCATCATTGACCTCTGCTGTCCCTCCCTCTGTGATGTAGAGCTCTGTGTAGATCTGGTTCAGAACGGTTGGGTTTCCTGCTTTAGCAATCCCCTCAAACACACACTGGAACTTCTTCTTCAAGTTGGATTTAAGTTCACGCTGGAAACAAAGTGGATGTCCTGAATGAACACACAAGAAAATATTTTAACATTTTATTTCCTTAAATAATGAGTATGTGAATATATTTTGGTCCTTCTGTTGAGACATCAGTAAATGTCTCATTTATCCAGCGAGTTAAATCTTTACAGAAATCCTCTTACTGCTCTGCAGATGGCCAGCCAGCTCCTCCTGCTTCATTCTCCTCAGGAAGTTCAGTGTGATCTTCAGAAATGCCTCTCTGCTGCTCTTCCTGTGCTCTTCATCCTCGCTGTCCAACACCTCCTCATTCTCCCTCTGACTCTCTAAGCATTCTTGGTAATCTGAACTCAGAACCTTCTGGATCTTCTTCAGCTCGTTCTTCACAAAAGTGACAATGTTGTCCTCCAGCAGCTGGAACAGAATATTATATGAATGACTCAATCATGGAACCAAACATCAGATCCATGTTGGACAGACAATCCACTGGTCTAAAAAGAGCAGCATGGAGATTATTGTGAACACAATAGATGTAAAAGTAGTTGTTGTCCATGTACAGACCATAAATATGGAGTCCAGGTGTGTTTGATGCTGCTGGGCAGACTGACCACTGGGAACCTCTGAGCTCTCCTGGTCCACTCTGTGGAGGAATCATGAAGAATGAGCTCACATTATGTCTGTCCACACAGAGACAAACACAAGGTAAAGGTCCATGAAGTGATATTTGGATGTGAACAGTGAATCTGATGACTCCCTGTAGTGGTAAAGGTTTACTAGTCCTGCTGATCCCACTGAGAATCAACAGCTCAGTTTGGTTCAGCCCCAACAGCTCTCACCAACCCCTCCATATAGCTCTCCCTCCCTCACTGTACACTGTACAGCCTGGAGCAAGGCACATAGATAGAGCCTCCAGCTGCTCTGTGCCTAACCCTAACCCCCCCGGTCTTTTTCATTCTACACACAACTATTTCTGAAGTCATCACTGTGAATGTTTTCAGGAGAGACTGTGGTCTGTTATCATATTTACATGATATCATGTCTCCACCCTCTCCTTGACAATCGGCTTTACACAACACTTTTCAGACGTGGTCTGACGAGACGTCCTACATACGTATTTTACATTATTTATTATTTTCTACCATAACCCAACTCTTACTGCCAGTTACAGGTTACCTCTGATCAGCCGACGGAGGGACTCCTTTAAACTCAATCATATCTATCTTTGACCTGTCACTCTTGAAGGACAGACAGCTGGGTTCAGGACAGTCTGGCTGCTGGAGCCTGAAACAGAAACAGCACAGATACATTGTGATACATGTTGGGTAGAAACTGGTGAAGAATATATTCAGTCTTTTAACACAGACACAAACATTGTGTCACAAATGACTTTTAGTCAGGTTTACATTTTTACCTTCCATCAGCATGTTGTCTAAAAACAAGAGGATTCTTCATGGACTCATCACTCTTCATGGACACACAGCTGGGGTCAGGTTCAGGTCCAGGTCCAGGTTCATGTTCAGGTTCAGGTCCAGGTCCAGGTGTGTCATGTTCCCCGAACAGAGTGCTTTTAGAGGAAGGGACTCCCTCCTCTCTGTGCTCACACTGACTCATAGCAAGTGTGTCCACTTTTCTTTTTTTAGACATCACATTACCAAACACACACACACACACACACACACACGCACATGGACACCGATTAAAACGTTAATGTAAATGAAACCTCTGATATTGGCAGAGCAAACCCCGCAACTAGCAGACCGGTGTGCAAGCAAGATGGAGTGACAGCGGGGACGGCCAATCACACAAGAAACGGCAGCTTGTGGGCGGGTCTAAACTAACAGGCTTCAGCTCTTGGTCCTAGTGCTTGACGAGTCTCTGTTTACGATAGAGTAACATTGTTTTTGGACGGTAAAAACTGCAGGGGACCCGGGACCCGGGACCCCCCCCCCAATTACGTCCGTGTCCATACCATAATAAACCGGCGTGTATGATCGCAGCACGCGCGGCATGGTTATCTTTTCCTTTCCTGATCCGGTTCTACTAACGCAAGACAACATGTTAACTGATATCATCATCAGAGCAGAATAAGCTCAATGTTTTTACCAATCAGAGATCGATATATTGATATATTTATGAGTTACCTGTAACAACTGCAGACAGGTTGAAGTCACGGTGAAATTGATTTAATTCTGCGTCACAACCGAAATGAAACCGAAATTGACCTGGGAGCCGCTTTGACGTCACGGTTGGCATGGCAACGGCGGGAACTCAAGAGGAACCAGGACCCAAGTTGAAACGGGACAGTTCCCTCATATCAGCAGCTCATAAACTTTACTGGTCTGCTACATATATAATGAACCATTTTAATGAATCCTAAACTAAATTATAATAAGTTTAGTCCCTAAAACCGATAAGGTAATTATTGTAGGTGGTTTTAATATTCATGTCAATAAAACTTTATTGATTTAAATAAAAACTTTTTGGTTGCAAACATTATTTTAGTAATGTTGATATAAACAACATGGATAAACTAGTTGGAGTAATCAACTTAAACACGTGTTTATGCTACCAATTATTGATTAAAAACTGCTTTAACTGTGGAGGAAAAGACGGTTCCCCGACCTCAGTGTGATACATATGTTAAACATTTTGTGTCTACCTAAATATATATATATGAAATACAACATGGCAGCAGTGCCTTGATGACGTCAGTCAAGTTTCATTCAATATATTCAAAGATTCATTCAATATATTCAAAGATTCATTCATTATATTCAAAGATTAATTTCCTAAACGGCATGCCAAATATGAACTATAGGCCTGTATCTATTATATTATGAATGAAATGTGCGTTATTTGGAAGAAAGTCGAGGTGTGACTGACTTACAGTGGATCCCCCATTCCCCCCCTTGTCCGTTCCATTAGGGAGACCAAGAGGTGAACTGCCCCCCCTTCTCCACATAGCTTCATTGCACAGTACCTTCTCAGCAAGCAGGGGCGCTTGCAGCTGTAGGGGGTGCCAATTTGCCAATTCCCCACACAGTGGTATGATATAGCACATAGAAAACCGCTTCATGGCGCAGTGGATTTTTTTTTTTAAGTGCTTGTCATGCCATCTCTCATGAAAAAATGCCGCCCTGGGCGTCTGCCCGCTTGCCATTGACCGAAACCGCTACTGGAAAGAGGGCAACAATGTGACTCTGAGCTGCAGAAACAAGACGACTTCCTCCAACCTCACAGCTGGTTTCTATAAAGATGGCCTCCTCATGGGCAGCAGCTCTACAGGAGAGATGATCATCCACAGTGTTTCCAAGTCTGATGAAGGACTCTACAAGTGTAAGATCTCTGGAGCTGGAGAATCAGCAGAGAGCTGGTTGGCTGTCAGAGGTGAGACATTGCACTGTTTATCTTCTAATGGTTCTATAAAAAGCAGAACAGCAACCTGATAGATGTTCAGTATGTACCAGAGTAATGCTACAGCAGCCCTTAGAGACAACCTGTGACACACTGTTAATACTGCCATGCTGTTACAGCACATATATCCTCTTGTCTTTGCAGCTCTTCACACAGAGGCTTGTCCCTCCTCAGATCACTCCTTTAATGTTCTCCTCCTTTTAATATGCAAAACTGTTTGGACAACTGTGCAATAAAAAAATTGAAAAATATCTTTAAATATACAATTGTTTATTTTTATATATAGGACAAATAATAATAATAATTATTATTATAATAAAAACAATTTGATATTTCTCAAAGCAAATATTGTCAAGAATCATTAATAATTAAGAGAATAATTAATCAGCATTTGGACTATTGAAAGTGCCACAGGGTTGAAATAAACCTCTTTATTACAGAAACATGGAGCAGATAATTCTAAACTGAGAGTATGAACTTATTTACAAACAATACAAAACAGAATAAAAAATAATATCTTTACTGTCCAAACCAGAAACTGTGTGTGTCAATGGAGAATAAATGTTAACATATAGATTCAATTCAGTAAAAATACAGAACAAAAGTTGCATTCCAGTTTATTTTACCTTCAGTCCTAACCCCGTGGCTAGCAATTCAATATTTAAGATTTTTATTCTTACTAATCAATGAAGAGTAGCAAAAAATAAAAGCAAACCTGTTGCCTCATTTTAAACAAACATAAAATATAAAAGATCAAATGTTGTTGATTTCACAATAAAATATATGTCTATAAAATAAAATAATATTGTCTAATAAATATTATCTTCCAGAGATAATATGATCTGAGTTATGGTGAATGTCTCCAGTGTTGCTGATGAGAGTGACCTGCAGTTTGTCTCCAGGGCTCAACTTCAGGTCTCTCCACAACAGGTCAGTGGGAGGATAATGGGTACCACAACCTGGAGCCCACAACTGCAAAATGCAAATGTTACAGGCTTACAAATACACTTGTGCATTATTATTAATATTATTTATTTTTTAATTTCAAATGGGACTCAACAACAATGGAGAAAGAAAGAAAGAAAGAAAGAAAGAAAGACAGAAAGAAAGAAAGAAATGATAGAAGGACAAACATGAATGAAAGACTCACAGTGACAGTGTTTCCAGCCTGTAGTTTGAATGAGTACTCAAATGTGTACATGATGGGTTCTGTCTCATTTAACCGGACTCCTAACCTCCATCCTCCCAGTTGTTGCTCCTGCAGTGACATTGGGTGAGAGGGAGGATGAGAACAAACTAATGTTACAGTGTTACACTTATTGAATCCATTGTGTTTATTCAATGATTCAATGTCATTTCCCTCTTTACATGAAAACAAGAGCAAATGGATTGTGGGGGAACTAACAGCTCATTATTTGGAATATTATTGTAGTCCAGACTTATACAGAACTCATACAGTGTTCATCCACACACAGACAACAATACCTCATTGGACCAGTTTCTGAGACGAATATATTTGCCGTGTTGGTCGACCTCAACGTCGGGTACTGTGGTTGAGCTCTGATTGGCCGAGCTGGTGTTGTTCTCCTCCACTGCAACCTAATGAGAGGGAGACAACACACACACATATCATTCAGGACTAACCAACTAGCTAACAGACAGACAGATGGATGTTGTCAAACACATTGTGTCTTTAGACATTTGACTGTTGTAGAGTTTTCTTGATAAGTGAAATCTTTCTCTCTTTTTACGACAGCGATGATAAATGTGATCAATTGTAATTTTGATTCTGATATTAGAATAGTTCAGCAACAGTTCAGACTGACAGCAGGTAGATTACAGACATTAAAAACACACAAAGACTCAAGACGAGAGTGGGAACAAGTAGACATTAATAGTTATACTGACTGCTTGTAATATGGACAGGTGGTGATCATGATATGTTGTTTAAGATTGTAAATGTCCTAGTTCAATATTTTATGAAGAAGTTTAAAAGAAAGTCAGAGGAAAACTCTGCTCCATTAATAAAGGGTAAAACATGTACCCTGTTCTTCAGCTCCTTCTTTGCGTTCTCTTTTTTCTCAGCTTCCTCCCTTTTCTTCTTCTCCTCCTTGAGCTTCTTTTCCCACTGGGAGGAAAAAGAGAGATGAAGAGACAATTGGTTTTATATCGTGCACTTAATATCCAGGTCTAAAACTACGTTCTGATTGGTTGTAGGTTGTGATTTATGACCTTTTAATGTTGTTTCGTCCCTGACTGTATTATTGTTTTGTATTGTTTCTGCTGTGGTGTGCTCTGTGTTTTGTCCCTGTTTTCTACAGGAGTGTGCAGCCTGTCTCAGTAGGGATCTTTGACGGCAACCCATAGGTCTCCTCCTGACTGGTTAATTACGTGTCTGTTGCTGGTTGGTTCCCCCTGTGACATCCGCAACATCCGCCATGTTTTAAACATCTGGCCTCACATCAGTCGGGTCAGAAAACCTGGCAGCAGCATCGTTCTGTCCCCAGACCAATGAGAAACTGTGTGTAGTCGTACGAAGGTTGTTGGCAACGATTGGCGAGTTATAAAGATTATTGTTTTCCTATGGTTGTATATAGTGGGTGTGTAGGGGTGAACTGCCATTCAGGAATTAGTCAGCATTTTGTTTGAGAGTGTTAGATCTGCTTTATTTGTTGTTTTGGCCTCGGTTCACCCTGAAGATTGTTCCTGGTTTTTGTTGCACTTCTGGTTTCACATCTGTAAATAAATCAGTTCACTTGTTTGTTAAACCTGTGTTCATTTTTGGTTTGGGGATCAGGAAGGGAAACTTATTCATTGTTATTATTTCCTCTTCACTTGTATGTTGCGCTCCTACCCCATATACAGGGGTGTAACAATGTGCCCATAGTTGAGTCAGGTTCAACCTCTGTTTATACTGTGAATATATACTGTAAATATCAGCTGTAACAATCAGTGCACTACTCAACTGATGAATTCAACATGTAATTCTAAAAAAAGAGCATTAAAGTAAAGAAGCAGAATGTCTCAAAGTCAGCAGTGTCAGCAGGGTTCAACAACAAAATCTAATCTTTATCATATTTATAGAATGAATACATTCACTGTTACACTGCTCTGTGTTTCTTTCAACCTGAGTCCACTTTCATATATAATATATATCATATATAAAATAAAAACATTGATTTAGGTGAAAACATTCACCTCTGTGTTTCTGATCATCAGCTCCTTCAGTTCTCTCTCTGCTCTCTGATTTTTATTCATTTTATTTTTATGAAGTTAATGTGCAGTTTACATTAAGGTCTGAATGGACTCTCGTGTGTGATGATCTGATGCTGTGGTAGAACACTGTTCATGTACAGTTTGTCTCAGGTTGAATCAGTTTACCTTCAGTGGATTTATACTGGAAACACTATCTGACTGTTGTCTGTCCTGAACCACCAGAGTGAGTTAATCATTGCACAGCTTTTTAAACATTGAGTTTAACACTGGTAACAACCAACTGTCTGGTTTGATATTATATATTGAATCTGGACAGCAGGAGGATATTTCATCTGTTACACCAACAATACTCAGTAATGTGATGCCTCTAGTTTAGAAATTCTAAATATTTGTTGATTACTGTATGTATGTGCTGTAACTATATGTAGCAACCATACCTACTACCTGCTGGAGCAATGCTGCTGTACTGTTAGTTCAGACTGAATTGATACACATTAGTATAAGTATTAGTATACTATAACTAAGTATTAGTTAACTGTTAATAACTCACTGAGAATGTGCTTTACAGGATTCACAGTAAACATCTTAAAATAACAGAGATTGTTCTTGATTCTGTTAATAATGTTACATTATTATATTTCAGAGAGCTGGAGTTTGAATGCTGCACAGCACTGACAGTGGCACATTGTGTGGATCTCAACATTCTTGATCAATATTGATTTTAACAGTGTTAATCTGCAGGAATTAACCAATGGATAAAGAATCTGAGACAGTTGAACCTTAATGTTCTAACATTTGTGTTTTCCTCTCAGTACTGATTACTGAATACAACACCTTTATAAGACTTGGTTTAAAGAGGTCTAAGAGGGAGTCTGACCTCTAACTGACCTCCAACATAAACGTCACTGTGGAGAATGTCATACTCTCTATGGATGACCTTTAGCAAATACAATATATATTTGTTCATGTACAGACATTATAACATTATAAACCATACAATATTTCTTAGTTAGTGTAATAATAATACTTTATGCTAATTTCTGTATTGTGTCATCAGCAAAAATGCAGTTCAGTTAGTGGCAAACAGAATGGTTACTACTTATACACTAATACATTTCTTTATATTTTGAGTTCAAAAGAAAAAAATAAATATTTAAATGAAAAGTTAATTTTGGTTTATTATTTCTACACATACCATACAACAGATGAGGTCAGACGGGTTGTATGAGGCAGTAAAGCCAAAGTCAAGAAAACCCGGTGGCTTCAGTTTAATATTATCATCTTAAAGTTATTTAAATGTTTTTATTCATTTAAATAAGCTTTAGATCAAATACAATTGTGAGATTTAACTAAAACACACAAATACTATACGATATGTAAAGAAAACTATATGTATAAAATATTTATATTTATAAATATGTGAATAAATATATATGCCAGATAATAAAGTGAATATGCACTAGTATTACTACTAGTAGTGGTGGTGGGAACAATCCTAAAGTAAAAAGGCAACTCTACTTAAATTCATGAATCAATTGTTTTTTTTCATACATTTTTTGTTTTAGTATAATTGTCTGATTTTAATTGTGTCATTGCTTCCGTTGCTTTTTCAATTTGGGATTTTAAGTCAAATTGAGAACATTCAGCTTTCCTGTGAGAAACTCTGCAGTTCCACAGTTTGACCAGTAAAGCAGCAGCTCTTCTGTCAGTGAGTATAAAGGAACATTTGTGACCTGAAGTCAGTTTTGTTCAATACAGCACACATCCGTCTGTGTCTGAGTTTACTCTGCTGAATCTCTTAGTCAGGAAATATCAGAATGTATTAATTGTACTTCTACGTTACAACTTACCCCAGATGAAGGAGACCGGACCGGAGCAGCTTGTCTCCTTTCCAACTGGGATAACAGAGAGAGGTTAAGAGAGACATGTTCTTTATTAAATATATTTAGTGGTTTATTATCTAAAGCATTAAACAAATTATTTAAAGGGGAACTTGGCAACTTTTTTCAGCTTAATAAACCTGTTTAGAAACAATTTGGATGGTTAAATGGCCTGTTCCGGTGAAAATGGTAACTCCAACCCCCCCCTAGTGTCCCCAGGTGGAAAACCAACTTTGCAACTTTGGGACTACCGTCCCATTAAGTTGGAAATAGGAAGTATCGTGAGAAGCGTGAACCAGCGAGAAACACAAACTGCTTTACAGCAATTCCACATAAACGCACACGCGCCCTCAATACCGGTTAGTGTATAATGTATTACCCACCTCGGTAGACATTGCTCCACACGAAAAAGTTGCCCGGCGAAAAAAGGCACATCAGCAGCGGTAGAAAGGGGGAGGAGTGTGCCGACAGTGAGTTTTTTTACGACGTGTTGTGAAATATACGTCCCAGAGCTGTAGGGGGAGCTCGTTGAGAAAACATGTGATGACAAAAGTGAAAACCAGTGAAGAAATGGCTAGAGTTGCCAAGTTCCCCTTTAACCATAAAGGTTCTCAGTAGACTTTTAGACCTCTATTAGCGCTATGGAGCTTATTTTTTTTTAATGAGTGAGTTGTGGCTGACATACACTCCAGCCAGTGGTTTTATACTATTCCTCTGATCTACAGGTGGCTGCAACAAGATACGCTGCAATGTGACAACAAAGACAGGGAAGAAGACTGCAAGCATGTAAACATTGCATTTGAAAATAATTTGGCTTTGTAAAAGAACACAATGTGTTTTAGTAAGTAACTCTGAACTTAGACATATATTTTGTTTGAAAGGGCAGCTTTAAGTTTATGGTCTGAATTGTTGTTTAAACTCAAAGTCACAATGATCTTTAATCTGTCATGGAAACTTATACGGGATGGGTGTTGCTGGACACCAAATATTACTGCAAATATTCAGATGGTTTTGGTTAAAATAGAAAGACAAACCTCCTTGTTGTTGGACTCCATCAGGGTCTGCAGGTTTGTCTCCACCATCCTCTGAATCTCATCCTGGAGCTGCTGGACTTCAGCTTGTTTGTCTTCAACCTGGGAGGAAAGAGGAGACGAGATGACCATATGAGAGACATGTTTTATTATTAATGCACATTAGAAGTGATGTACTACAGTACCAGAGAAACAGTCAAACCTATGGAATGATGATTTTATCTATAAATCGTATTTAAGCTGCTGCCAAGAGATAAACATTTCTGAATTAAGTAACTATTAAGTTGCTATTTAATTGGTACAAATGCAATGACCAGTGCAAAGCACACACTGTCTTTCATACAACATGATAAAGTCCCAAAACAAAGTATAGTTATGTTCAAGTGACATAGAAGCCATAGTAATTATGACTCAAGTAAAGGAGGAAGTCCTTCTCTGTGTTCTGCTTTTTAATTTAGGTCACTACAGAAGCAGTAGGTTCTGTGCTCACATAGTATAACACTGAAATCTGCAGCCAAAGGAAAATGCTGAGAACAATGGAGACACAGTTTAATGACTGATAATAATGATAATACCAAGGTGATGAGAGTATGAAAGCAAATACGTAAATAGCAGAAAAATAAAATCTTTTGAAGAAAATAAATAGAAACCTGTTTGATTTTGGTGTCTAATTCCTTCTGATGAGTCTCCAGCTTCTTCTTCAGTGTCTCCACTTCCTGCTCAGCTTTATTCTTCTTCTGCTCTTCTTCTTTGCTGCCACTCTGGATCATTAAAACATGTGACTGATCATACTACACAATGTCCCATATGGCAAAGAAATGAAGCCTCTGGTTTTATGGATAACAAGTGAGAAATATCAGCAGAACATTTTAATGGCAAAGTTTAATTTCAGGTCTGTGGGTGGTGACCCCTGACTTCCCCTCAGTATGTGCTGTACACATTCACATTCTCTCTGCTGCTCTCTGTGTTGTATAAAGTAGTTCAGAGCTGCACAATTTAACTGTTAATGAAGTTGATAAAGAAAATGGAGGACCAGCAGAGAATGCAGTCAGTCTGTGTCAGCATGGCTCTCATTCACAAACTAGTGACAAGAGACATCACAATAATAATGGATATATTACAATAACAGACTTTCTTGTTATTTTTGTGACGACACCTCAGAGTGTATTATTGCATTCAAACCATGAGCACTTACCGAAGGCCACCAGGTAGACTGGGCTAGGTTGGCTTGGATTGTCTGCAGGTGGGAGGGAGAGATAGAGACATTAGTATCACATTAAAGCTTATGAATAATTATACAACCAAATGACAGTTAAACCAACACAATATGTAACTTAATATACAGTCAAGTACATTTTATATGCTACATCTTAGTACAAGTTCAGTAACACAAACATGGTGTAGTTGGATTCTCAAACAGCAGAGATAATGAGACATTAACCTCTTTGTGTTTGTTCTCCAGCTCTTTCTTCACGGTCTGCAGGTTGTTCTGGATCCTCTGCCTCTCTTCACGGAGCTGCTGCAGCTCAGATTGTTTCTTTTCAACCTGGAAGGACAGAGAGACAAGTTTGACTGTGTTTACACTATGGATGACATAAGAATGTGACTTCAAACTGAAATAAAAACCTGATATTATTAAAGTGAAGTTGAACCTCATTCTTCCTGTATATGTTCTAATAAACATAGAATGCAGCAGTGAAAGTGGGAAAGAAAAGAAAAGTGCAGCTGTGAGACATTTAAGTTAGTAATGATCAGATGAACATCTTTGTTCTTGCACTTCAGCTGATTGTTCAGGGTCTCCAACTGACTGTTCAGGGTCTTCACGTCCTTCTGCCTGTTCTGTTTCTCCTTCAGGAGCTGACTGATTTCAACCTGTTTTCCCTCCAACTGGGAGTGCAGAGAGACATGGAGACAGACTGTGAGAGACTTACACTTATTTTAGATATGAGAGATTATATAAGACATTAACTAAACACTCAACTCTACTTCAAGCTCTGATTCATTCAGCATTTAAAGTACTTTCAGTCTTGACTTGGACTTTAGATGTGTTGAACTGTTTGTTGTTATTGTAGTTTATTTTATATTTATTCATTAAATTTGAAATGCAAAAATAAAATAAAATATCATAATGTTCTATTTTCTGGAAGACACTAATTTAAAAGTCATTTGAAAAGAGGCAAATAAGTTGCTGGAAAGGAAACTCAAATACAAACCTTCTCCTCCAGGATCTGAACTTTGTTCTCAGCTTCTTCCCTCCTCTGCTGCTCATCCTGGAACCTCTGCCTGGAAATCAACGGCCACTGAAACTGAAAGAGTAAGAGGAGACAGAGATTAGACACTTAAAAAGAAAGTTCATCATCTTTCTTTTTATAACTTTTTTTCATTTTCATTTTTTATTTGTGTCATTGTGATTTTAAGTCAAATTGAGAACATTCAGCTTTCCTGTTAGAAACTCTGCAGTTCCACAGTTTGACCAGTAAAGCAGCAGCTCTTCCTTCAGTGAGTATAAAGGAACATTTGTGACCTGAAGTCAGTTTTGTTCAATACAGCACACATCTGTCTGTGTAAGTTTGTCTTGTGGAGTTTACTCTGCTGATTTTGTTAGTTTCTATCAGGAAATATCAGAGTGTATAAATTTTACTTCTACATTGCAACTTACCCCAGATGAAGAAGACCGGACCGGAGCAGCTTGGCTTCTTTCCAACTGGGATAAAAGAGAGAGGTTAAGAGAGATATGTTCTTTATTAAATATATTTAGTGGTTTATTATCTAAACCATTAAACAAATTATTTAACCATAAAGGTTCCCAGTGGACTTTTAGACCTTTAGTAGCACTATGGAGCTTATTTTTTTTTAATGAATGAGTCCCCAGTTTGTGCATGAGAACACACTTGAATACACATGTGGCAGACACACACTCCAGCCAGTGGTTTTATACTATTCCTCTGATCTACAGGTGGCTGCAACAGGATACGCTGCAATGTGACAACAAAGACGGAAGAAGACTGCAAGCATGTAAACATTGCACTTTAAAATAATTTTGCTTTGTAAAAGAACACAATGTGTTTTAGTGAGTAACTCTGAACTTAGACAGATATTCTGTTTGAAAGATCAGCTTTGAGTTTATGGTCTGAATTGTTCAACACATAAAGTCACAATGATCTTCGATCTGTGATGGAAACTTATACGGGATGGTTGTCACTGAACACCAAATATTACTGTAAATATTCAGATGGTTTTGGTTAAAGTAGAAAGATGAACCTCCTTGTTGTTGGACTCCAGATTCTCCATCAGGGTCCGCAGGTTGGTCTCCACCATCCTCTGAATCTCATCCTGGAGCTGCTGGACTTCAGCTTGTTTGTCTTCAACCTGGGAGGAAAGAGGAGACGAGATGACTATAAGAGAGACATGTTTTATTATCAATACACGTTAGAAGTGATGCACTACAGTACCAGAGAAACAGTCAAACCTATGGAATGATGATTTTATCTGTAAATCTTATTAAAGCTGCTGCCAAGAGATAAACATTTCTGAATTAAGTAACTGTTAAGTAGCTATTTAATTGGTACAAATGCAATGACCAGTGCAAAGCACACACTGCCTTTCCCACAACAGAATTATTTTCCTAAAATAAAGTATCTTTATGTTCAAGTGATGTAGTAACTGTAGTAATTATGACTCAAGTAAAGGAGGAAGTCCTTCTCTGTGTTCTGCTTTTTAATTTTTGGGGACTACAGAAGCAGTAGGCACATAGTGTAACACTGAAATCTGCAGCCAAAGGAAAATGCTGAGACCGATGGAGGCAAAGTTTGATGATAATACCAAGGTGATGAGAGTATGAAAGCAAATAAGTAGATGGCTAAAAAAAATCTTTTAAAGAAAATAAATAGAAACCTCTTTGATTTTGGTGTCTAATTCCTTCTGATGAGTCTCCAGCTTCTTCAGTCTCTCAACTTCCTGCTCAGCTTTATTCTTCTGCTCTTCTATTTTCCTGCGCCTCTGGATCATAATAAAACATGTGACTGAAAATACTACACAATGACACATATGGCAAAGAAAGCAGAACATTTTAATGGCAAAGTTTAATTTCAGGTCTGTGGGTGGTGACCCATGACTTCCCCTCAGTATGTGCTGTACACATTCACATTCTCTCTGCTGCTCTCTGTGTTGTATAAAGTAGTTCAGAGCTGCACAATTTAACTGTTAATGAAGTTGATAAAGAAAATGGAGGACCAGCAGAGAATGCAGTCAGTCTGTGTCAGCATTGCTCTCATTCACAAACTAGTAACAAGATTAATCACAAAAATAATGGATATATTACAATAACAGACTTTCTAGTTATTTTTGTGATGGCACCTCAGAGTGTATTATTGCATTCAAACCATGAGCACTCACCAAAGGCCACCGGGATAGTGTGGCTTGGATTGTCTCCAGCTGGGAGGAAGAGATAGAGACATTAGTATCACATTAAAGCTTGTGAATAATTATACAACCAAATAACAGTTAAACTAAACACAATATGTGACTTATTATACAGTCAGTTACATTTTATATGCTACATTACTGAGTAGAAGTTCAATAACACAAACATGGTGTAGTTGGATTCTCAAACAGCAGAGATAATGAGACATCTCAATAAATGAAGATGAAGACATGAACCTCTTCGTGTTTGTTCTCCAGATCTTCCTTCGGGGTCTGCAGGTTGTTCTGGATCTTCTGCTTCTCTTCACGGAGCTGCTGCAGCTCAGATTGTTTGAGTTTGACCTGGAAGAACAGAGAGACAAGTTTGACTGTGTCTACACTATGGATGACATAACAATGTGACTTCAAACTGAAATAAAAGCCTGACATTATTAAAGTGAAGTTGAACCTCATTCTTCCTCGTCTCCAACTCCTCTGAGAATAGAGTGAGGACCCTCTTCACTCTATTCTCAGCTTCCTCCCTCCTCTGCTGCTCCTCCTTCAGCTGCTGCTCAGTTTTCTGCTTCAACAGAAAGAGAGGACAGAGATGGACAGAGACAAGATGTGAGACATGATTTTATTTGGGGAGGTTACTGAAGACACCGCACAATAACACATGTGTCACAGCCTTTGTATTTAGGTGCAGTTGAGAAATGTCAGACATTAAAGTAACAAATATTTAACAGAATTATTATGAAGTGAAAGTCTTCAGTGGTTCAGAAAACACCATAACTATGTCACTCTCAAATAAAAAGTTTTTTTTTATTTTTTATTTACACCTACATTTTGTATGAAATGTGCTCTATAAATAACATTGACATGTTGTCTTCTCATTTCAGATCATGTTGCTTTATTGTTCTATACTCTGATGAAACTTATCTTGTTTGTTTTCTCTCTGAAAGCAATGTCCTGTTTCTTTACTTACATGTTTGTTCTTCTTTTTCCCTTTTCCCTTGTTCAAAACCTCCATTTGCACTGTTCCATCTGCCATGAGTGTCTCTCTCTGATCTTCAGTTTTGTTTCTTTTGGAGCAATTCTTCTCCTCTCCTTTATCACTGTTACCCCTGTGGCTTCTCTTGTTTACTGTGTAAAATAGAATTAAAGTATGAAAGAAGTTTATTTGCATTTTGTGAAGGTATCACAGCATATGAACATTTCTGTCTAAATAAACCTGACAATTTTGATTGAATATTAAAAGCTGACAAACCACCACATTATTTATCAGCACTATAAGCTGTAATATACTGATGTTTTAATCACCATTACTCATTACACCTGTGAGAATAACTTGACATTTTTAAACCACTGCAATTTATTTGTGACTTACTGATTATGTTTTGTCTCCATTTCCACACAAAGAAGACAAGTAACAGAATAAGCAGGATGCAAACAGCCAAACTAACAGCCAGACCAACTGTGAGAGTAAAAGAACTGGACTGGACCTCGAAGAAATCATCTGAAATGAAACAGAATTACATATAGAAAACTACAACTCAGCTATTTGAAACTACAATTGATTAAAGAGTTCGGTCTAGACCTGCTCTATTTGAAAAGTGTCCTGAGATAACTTCTGTTATGAATTGGCGCTATACAAATAAAATTGAATTGAATTGAATTGAATTGAATTGAAATCACATTAAACAATATTATTTAATAATGACCAGAAATAAAGATGTGTGTCTCTCTGGTCTGGTTGATGTCCTTCTGTTGGACTCTACAGGTGAAGTTGTTGCTGTGTCTCTTCTCCACAGTCACTCTGCTGCTGACAGTATAGAGGTCATCAGGACCTCTGACTGTCTCTGTAGGTCCAGCAGAGAGGAGGTTTCCCTCACCGTCCAGCCAGACCACCTCAGGCTCTGGATACCAGCCTTTAGACTCACACTGTAGATCCAGTCCTCCTTTGTTTCTTTCAATCCCTGATAAATCGATGACAGGTGGGGACACAGCATCTGAAGCTGAGCAAAAGGAAAGATTTTAAACCAGTTGTCAGTTTTGCAATCACTGTTAATAGTTAAAAATAAAAAAAGGTGCACGAATGCAGATAAATGCAAAACTGTAAAGCTAATAATAAACACATACTGTATAGCCTGTGCATTAGCATTGCCTTTAATATAACTGGAGATGGGGCTGGTGACGGGTCATATTTAACATTTCAAAAAGTTGTAAGTGCTCAACAAATGTCATTAAACTGAAATGGCATTGACGTTGTAGACATTAAAAAGTCCAGGCAGTTTAGTTTTAGTTTTAGTTAGTTAGGTAGGCATTTTTTGGCAAGCAAAATAAAAGATCAATCATTAAGAATAAAAAGCCATATATGTTGTACATTATTCTGAAATCACAAACCAGTTATTTTAAACATTACTATAAATTTTGAGAGGTAAATCTGCTGCCATCATCATTGTAAACCATATCTGTGAGGTGGTAAAGCCAGACGGACGGAGAGGTATTAGCAACAGTAACATACGGGTGCAGTAGGACTCAATAAAGGGTTGGTGGACATCTCTTTGGAAAATTTGTCATGGTCTACATTAAAGCATATCACATTCTATCTATTTTAAACTATTTTATGTTTACTCTTTATGTCCCAACAACTGAAAGTTTATCCTCTACATGATTCAATGGATACAATGTACAGACTGCATCAAACTATCCTGTACACATACATTGTGTATCTACTCACCAACAACAAGCACAATGAAAGAGTCTATAGTCAGATCTGGAATGTAGCATCTGTATCTCCCCTCATCAGAAGGTTTTACTTTGGAGAGCTTCAGTGAAATGTTTCCATGCTTCAGTTCACCAGCGAACAATGTCCTTCCTTTATAGGCTGGATTTTTAGCCTTTACATGGTCCTGACCAGCACGCCACAAATAGACAAATCTGGGATCCAGGTCGGGTCTCGTCCACTCCAATGTCTTGGCAGTAATATCCACAGCAGGTTCCAGATGACACGGCAAAATGATGTCATCACCAATTGTTGCCACTATTGGCTGAGGCGAACCAATTAACTGAGACTGACCTGGAAGATAAAATACATTTGTTCAGCTGTATAAAGTGGGGCGGCTGTGGCGCAGAGGCAGAGCGGGTCGTCCCCTAATCGGAAGGTTGTTGGTTCAACTGATGAGAGTGAACTAAAACAGTGAACAGTGAAGTTGTGGGCCAGACATCCAAAACAAAGAGTTGACGGATTCTAAAACACACCATGGAGCTGTCTGTTGTAATTCTCTACTATGAGCAACAACTTTCATTTTACAGATATTTGGCATTTGATTGATTGGTGTGAAAATATGTAGCTCCTCGTATTCAACAACTACTTTCCAACAATGTCTTATTGTGGCCTTAAATTGTATTTGTGTGTAACTTACCTCTACAAAAGTGTGCTAGGAGAAAATGGACGAGCAGAACACTGATGGTTCTGAGCGGAGACTGAAGGCGCAGTCCAGTCATTGGAAGCATCCTACAGTTCTGAAAATGAACATAAAACACTAAAAGCCTACATGGACACCATCATTGTATAGAAAATATGCTTTTGATCTGGTGAATAGGCAAAATAAGTAGTCCTGTAACATATGAACTCATTCCTGAACAGAGTTGTTTGTTAACTAAATAATGGTCATTTAAAATGAATACATTTAATGCATTGAACTGCCATTGTGTTCGAAAGTTTTACACATTATATCACATTCTTTCTGCTTGAATTGAAACAAAGACTTACAGCTGTAAGAACAACTTCACTAGCAGTATCCTCATTTTACACAGACAATAAAACACTTCCATGCACTGGAGTTATACTTTCACTTTTGTCAGTACAGACATTCACAGATCTATAGTGAATTCTGTGGCTGTATATGGTATATACCTTTATCTCTATTGTGTCACAGACTGTTCCTAAGTGAATTAGAATTTTTTTTTGGATGCTGCCAGTTTATATATTTTAGCCTACAGTACTTTCAATGGTAAAAAGTCCTTGTCTCTAAGAATTAATCTAAGATAATAAAAAGATCCTGAAAATGTTCAAATAACTAAACACCAAAGGCTAATCAATTTTGAAATGATTAGATCACAATTATCCATACAATAAGTATGATACAGTGTTCCCGCAGATATAGAATTTACTTTCCCGTGTGTTATTATGATATATATGTGTGCTCTAAATGCAGACCTAGAAGGTGATAGTGTCTTTCAAAATAGAAATAGAAACACGTAGAAAAGGCAAAAATACATGTAGAAGACGACGTACCTGCTGCACAATCTGTCGACCATTTAATCAGACTTCACGACCAAAGTCTGTAAATCATTGACAGGATGTTTCCTGCAGCTTGTACATGCATTCATTTTTAGTTTGGAATTGGAAATGGTGTAGAACTTCCAAACTTTACCCGTGCAGTGTTCCCCATGAACTGGGTTTGGTTGGGTTCTACTTAATCATAAAAATACAGTACAATCCAGGGAGGTGATACAAATTTGCATATGGACAATATGCAGAATGTTAAGGACCAAATCTTTCACAGATTGTATTTGTTATTTTCATATGGCATGATATGAAATATCAATATCAATAACAGATTTGGATACAGATACATAACCTCGTATATCATTGGATCTTTCAGGATGCAGGTCATTTTGTAAGACTGTCAATTAATCAACTAATAAATAGAACTTTAAACAGAGTTTTAATAACTAATCTCAGTTTTACTTTGAGCGTCTTTGCAACACTGAACTTTGAGCCTGTTGCTAGGTAACTGATTACTAATATGAAATATTACAGCTGCAATCAAAACCACATGAGCAATAGGAGAGTGTTCATGAGGTAGTTGTTAGGTCTGTTTTGTAACTGCAGGGGGCAGAACAGGACTTGTTTACATATAGTTTATGCAATAACATTTCTGTGATAAATTAGAAAATAAATCTGAGATAACCGACAACTCTTCCAGAAGCCATACAACTGTTTTAGCAACCTAAGCAGCACTCCTTGTGCATAGAACTAGAATTGGCCCTTATATTTTTTACTGCATATATATATATATATATACATATATATATATATAGTGTATATATTTTTTTATAGTGTATATATTTTTTCATCATAATCATATATGTTCTACTGTATTTGAAAATATTCTTATTTTGTGATTCTTAATGTACTTTTACACTTCTGTACTTTGCACTACAATCCACTATATGCTGCTGTGTCTAACTTGGATTTCTCCTATGGGGATCAATAAAGGAACATCTTATCTTATCTTATCTTATCTCATCTTATAACACTAGTGAATTGGAAATGTTTTTTTGCCACAGCCTGTATAAAGAGAAGGAAAAATAACAGTGAACAAAAACGGTTTCTATGTAAAAATGGGGATGTGAGCATTGTGAACTTTGTTTTAAGATGACGAAAGAGAAACTTGAGCTGACCGAAGGAGCAGGGATGGTCAACCCCCTGTTGAATGGGTGCTTATAACTCTAGACTGACAAACTACTGTATGTTGAAGCCACTGTGACTCTGGCTTCAGCTTTAGCAGCAACATCAGAAGTCAACTGCACAGGAAGAGGAAGTTCTCGCTTACATACTTGTTGTATTTCAGTCTGATGTTCAGACAGCAGCAAGACAACATGGATGTCACATCTCTCTGCTTCAGACTGTGTGAGTGCTGAGTCTTAGTTTCTTTTTCTACATTTTATATTTTCCTGTAAATCGAAGCATCTATGGTTAATATACAACTTTGCTCCTTTGTTTATTCAGTGACGCTTGAATTCATTCTTCTGGGGACAGAAGTGCAGAACAGTTATTCTCAGGAAAGTGGTGAGTAACAATGAGAAAATTGTAAAATAAAATACTTTGTTTTATTGTGTGTCATTTTCATTCTGTCATTTTCCTACTTTTGGATGAAGATAATGTAAATATTTCTCTTTTTCAGGTGCAGCTTTTCTTTGGATCAGTCCGAACAGGCTGCAGCACTTTGAATATGAGTCCGTCTCTTTTCACTGTGAGGGGACTGATGGGTCCACTCAGCTGAAAGGAATCAGGATTACTGAGGAATTTAAACCAGTATGTGATATTAAGAGGACGCCAAAAGGGGCCTTCTGCACTATTGATAAAATCTATACAGTCGATAGTGGAGAATACTGGTGTGAGACTGAAGGGGGAGAAAAAACCAACAGAGTCAACATCACTGTCACTGGTATGTTTATTGTTATTTATAGCCACTACATATGTAATTTGAATATGTTTCTCATAAAGAATGTCTAGTGTGAAACTTCACTGATCCAGTTTAGACTGTAAGCCCATCATTTTTAATTAACGTAGATTTTGTTAATGGAAATATGAAAATCTTTGGGAATTAATTAATTGCTGCCTGGATTATGTACAACTTTTTTTGATAGAATGAAGCTTGGAGTCACGGCGAGATGAAAACGGTCTTAAAATAATTAAAAGCTAGACGTTAACACCGGAGACTGGGATTTGCAGCCTGAGTCCTGTCTGTGGTTAGGTTAAAGCAACACAGTTGTTTTTTTTGTATATTACCAAAAGGGCTGTTTCTACGTGGGTGCAAAAGCATACATTCTACTCTGTTTACTATTTTGCACCCTTAGTTAAAAAAAATATAGTGAAACTTACATTATTTCAAATCGTAATTACATATCATATATGCATGTACATTAGTCGTATGTGTATCACTGTCATAACAGCCCTACATTGTATCAGGAGTCATACTTTCCTTCTGGTGTTACTGAAAAGGAACAACACGCTGTATTCACCTTCTTCTGTTTCAAACCTTTTCCAGCTGCGTTCCTCCATAGCCTGTTAATCGGGGACCACGGTCAGGATGCGTAACACATTACACTATTTTTCATTGCCGTTGCCAGCTCGCACTGTAGCAACTAGTGCACCCTTTATAATCTCAGATGTCATTTTGTAGTGTACATTCTTATATCTGTATTTTCACACGTGTAATTTCTCTTCCTGAATTGTGGAAAATATCTTCAGTTTCCAATTGGGTGTAACTGCAATGTTAATAATTAATAAATTATTAATTACATATTAATAACAGCTTTTTCTTTCTTTCCACAGCTGGTTCTGTAATTTTGGACAGTCCTGCTCTTCCTGTGATGGAGGGACACATTGTGACTCTGTGCTGCAGAAGCAAGACCAGTTCCAACAAGCTCTTAGCTCATTTCTACAAGGATGGCGTCCTCCTGCAGGGCAGTCCTGCAGAAGAGATAACCATTAACAATGTCTCCAAGTCTGATGAAGGCATCTACAAGTGCAGCTCCTCTGAGGGTGAAACATCTCCAGGAAGCTGGCTGGCTGTCAGAGGTGAGGAATAACAGTGTTAGAGTTAGATAGCTGCTGATTATACACGATGATGGCACCCCCTACTTATGAAGAGTCCAGTCCATAATGTAAACATATTTGTCAAGTGTCTCATGTTTAAAACAATCATTTTACAATTGAAGTTCCATGCATAGTGTTATTTTCATCCTTACAGCAAATTCTCGATCCCGTCATGAAGAGACCCTCCCCGATGACTCAGAGTCCCCCCATGTCTTCACCCTGCTGTGGATTGCTGTCACTGTTTTAGTGATGGCTCTGGTGCTGCTGCTGGTGGGATTCCTCCATGTTAGGAAACACAGAGGTACAGAAATGTTACTACAGAGAGCATCGCATCACACTTGTTTTACATTTCTCCAATAGTTTAGGAATGGTGGGATACGTGATTCTAACTGTAATTCTGCACATCAAGCTATTTTTAACGAACAGAGCCACAAGTTTAAAAGAATTAAAAACATAAAACAGATTCAAATTAGATTTCTTATCATTTTACACATTTCCCTTGCGCTTAGCTCAGCTTTGAGGATATGTTAACATTTGGGCTAACAGCTCCAATGCTTATTCATGTCATAAACTTGTGTTAATATATAGGCTTAAATATTTTATATTTTTATACAACTCACAATGTTGCACTTAGTTGCACAAGTGTGAACCATCTGTTGGCTTAAGTGCACAGAAGAGTAAAAGTGTTTAATTTTACAAAAAAAAAAATTCTGGCTCTCTGTTTTCTATCCATCAGTGATGCTCTGCTTTTCCTCAAAGACTCCACCAGCAGCATCACAGTCGGGTGAGGACGATCAACACGGTGAGAGCAGACTTGTTACATAGGCTGTACTGTACTTCAGATTTGTCATTGCTCCATGTCATATTGATTTCTAAAAACATTTGAAGTAAAATCAAACTCTTGAAATGAAAGACCAAACAGAAGTCCATCATCCAATTATAAGATGTAAATAGGGTGTTAATGAAGTATATTTATGTACAACTATGTCCCTGTCTACCTGACAACCTTCTGAGTCTGTGTTTATAATTATTTAAATGTATTTTTTTTTCACAAACATTCGGTTTTATGTTTCAGTCTCTGGAGCGGACTCTGGTGTGACGTATGCAGTCGTCATCACAAAACAGAGAAAGAATAAAGGTTTACTTTATGTATTTTATTTCTTCAACATGATGTGAGAAACACAACAAGACTGTAATGGAACACTTGTGTCTTATTTATTAGTGATACTCTAAATGTTGAGAGACAAAGAGGTGCTTTTAACATCTTCAATTAGGTTAACCACCGAGCACAGTAGAATAATAAGACGAGCTGTTTGGTTTCACTGCCCTACATAATGAAAGAGGCAGTTGGGGTGTTGATACCAGTAAAGGTTGAGACATGCTGCACAGTAGAGCTGGTGGCTGAATTATTTTTACCTCCTCTCAGCGTCTCATACGTGCTGTTTTGTTTTAGACTCGGCAGACGCTGTTGATAATTTGAGCCCAGGAACAAACCACAGCAGAAAGCCACAGAGGGAAAGAGGTGAGAGGGGCTAGCTGACAGTTTTATTCTGATAAGAGCATTTGTGGTGTTCCTCTGTCTGTCTGTTGATCTCTTACTTCCTGTTGGTTTCCCCCCTTCAGATGACGATGAGTCCTCACTTCAACCCATTTACTCCACCTTAAAAACAAGTGAGACTTCACAAACTCTCCAGCGTGGTTCGTATATCATTAAAAAGCCTGTGGACAATTTCACATGTTTTCTAAAAATGTGCCAGTTAACTGATGCTCCCACTTAGATACAGCCACAGGTGTTTGAATTCCACATCTTTATTCCAGCTGTGAGTTTTCTGACCCCAACAAAGTGACTGCTACTGTCATTTACCTCAGCAATGCTCATATTTGCTGTAATTCTAAAAAAGATAGACAGAGGATTTAAAAGCTATCGACACAGAACTGTGATAAATTAAGATTATTTCCCAGAATGTATATTTTTCTAAGCATCTGGTTCATATTGATGCTCCATGTTGCTACATGTGTTACATTCTCATATCAGCTGGTTGTTTCAAGTTTACATCTGTACTGCTGACCAAGGAAACTGTAGTTTTTACAATGTAACAAATGATCTCTGGATCATTTCTGGATGAAAAAGATGCTGATATATGTTGCAGTTCATCATCCAGTTAATGTCAGTCTGAAAGAGTGTTAGCATCACTTAGACTTTAAAGTGGATTGCACCTCATAAAATGAGAGTGCTGGAGAGAACAAATAGAAACAGGATTAGTTACTGAAGATTTTCAAATTATTTGAAGCCATCCAGTGGTGCAGCTATAATGGGAAGTTTGACTTAAAGGGATTTGTCCAGATGAAATGTCAGTAGGTATTCATTAACTTTTTTTTAGATTAGATTATCACAGTTTTTGTGTCTTAACATGGAAAATGAACTCTACCAGTTTCTAAAACACAGCCTGAATCTCTGAATCCAACAGCAACCAAAGACTCAACAGAAGAGGAACTGTATTCTCCTGTTCAGAAGGTACGACTGATGGTAATTATAAAAAAAGTGGCCCTTGAGTTTAGAATATTTTACCACACATATATCCTTTGTGTTTTCTGTCTTACAGACCACAAAGAGCAGAGAGACCTGAGTGAAGAAAGGAGGAATTATTAGAAATATTGCTGAATTGTAAAGCTTTGTGTTGAACTTATTTGTGTGTGGTTAGTCATTTCATTGTAGTGTATTATGTATTAATAGAACGTTTCACAGTAGAAGTCAACAGAAATATGTCTATATGTACATCAAACCCTTCATATCTCAGATTGTTTGATTTGTATTTTCTGTTCACTCTGTAACATAACAAATTTAAGATAAATATAAATATACAATTAAACAAATGAAATGGCCGTGTACACCTGCACTATGAGACGCTTTAATAGATTGGAAATAAAGTTAGGCAGTACAGGACGAGTACAGTTATTATATAATTATATATCATTACATTACATTTAACAACTTTTTCTGCTGTCACTTTGTGAGAAGATGCAGTTACTAACCCTTCAACCAAAAGACTTCAAACAAAGAATTCTGTTTACAACTAAATAATATCTAATGATATATGTGAATATTAACATAGGCTGTTGTTTTTCCAGGTGCAGGTGGGGTGTTTTTTGTCTTTTTGTTTCACTTTGTATGTACATTTTAGGAAAGGGCTTTAGCTTTCAGACTAGATTAAAGTTAATGTGGAAAAATGGCATATATTCGTTTTAGAGGAGGCCCTAACTGAATTGTGAGAGGGAGCATAAAGGGAAAACACATTAGTAAATGTGTGCTATGCTGCCAGCGTGGCTTTAGGGATGGCAGTGTCAGTCAGTAAGTCCACCACTTTGGCCCTGAATATCTCAGCAACTATGATGGATTGTACATTAACCCCAGTTCTGTTCTTAATAAAACATTATTAGTAGTTAAACTGTAATTGAGTTCTTCCATTGTATTCTACTTTATACTCCACTATTTTTTTTTTGTTACTACTTACGTTGCATATTCCGATTGTTGATACAAAGTATGAATCAGTTAATAAATTCTGATTGAATTCTGATATTATTATAGGTGAAGCTACCCATTCAGCCATTCTAATTGAATTAACTATTAACTATTAACTATTGTTTCTTGAATGATTTGTATTAGTAATGTAAGCACAGAATATCAATCACATTTAACCATCTGCTGTGTTACTGCATCACCTGACTTTTGAATGATAATATAATAAGAATATAATACAATAATACAATAGCTCTAAGCACAACCGTACCCACGTCCTGGATTTCTGTGATTTCTCTACTCAAATCTTTCTGCCTGAGATTTATATTTATTTATTCTCAGCTTTTCATGTCACATCAATTTAAAATAATGATTAATGTTCACAACTTGCAGCTACATTCTTACACTGGTTCACTCAATATTTTGATTTAACATGTATTTAAGTGTTTGAGCAATTATGAAAAAAGAAAGAAATATCTGTTTTATTGAATAGAAAATATGCAAAACTGTAAGAAAAAATACAAAAATCTCTTTAAATATAAAAGTGTTTATTTATATACTGTAAAGTTGTACCTCACAGGACAAATAATAATAATATAAACAACATGTCTGGAAAACATATTTGATATTTGATTTTTACCTCTTTAATACAGAAACATGGAGCAGATCATTCTAAACTGACAGTATGAACTAATTTACAAACAATACAAAACACAGAATAGAAAATAATATATTTACTGTCCAAACCACTGAGCTGTAGAAACTGTGTGTGTCAAAGGAGAAGAAATGTTAATATAGAGATTCAATTCAGTACAAATACAGAACAAAAGTTCCTGAGTTACATTCGCTCAGTTTTTGAGTTTATTTTCCCTTCAGTCCTAATCCCATGGCTAGCAAAGAAAACGTGTTTTGAATTGTTGAAAATGCCACAAAAAGGAAAATGTAATAATGTTTGATTTGATATTCATAAAAAATTAAATAAAATATCCATTGTTGTTGATTCCAGAATGGAAGAATGATTCATGACATGAATTTTAAGTTATAGTGAATGTCTCCAGTGTTGCTGATGAGAGTGACCTGCAGTTTGTCTCCAGACCTCCAGGACTTCAGGTCCATCCACACCCGGTCAGTGGCATCATGACGGCCACCAGAACCTGAAGCCCACAACTGCAAAATGCAAAGGTCACAGACTTACAAATACACTCATGCATTAGTAGTAGTAGTAGCATTTTTATTAAAAATATTTTTTTTATTTCAAATGGGACTCAACCATGGGAAAAGAAAGAAAGAAAGAAAGAAAGAAAGAATGAATGAAAGAAAAGGAAAAACATGAATGAAAGACTCACAGTGACAGTGTTTCCAGCCTGTAGTTTGAATGAGTTCTCAAATGTGTACATGATGGGTTTTGTCTCATTTAACCGGACTCCTAACCTCCATCCTCCCAGTTGTTGCTCCTGCAGTGACATTGGGTGAGAGGGAGGATGAGAACAAACTAATGTTACAGTGTTACACTTATTGAATCCATTGTGTTTATTCAATGATTCAATGTCATTTCCCTCTTTATATGAATGGTAAATGGACTTATACAGAACTCATACAGTGTTCATCCACACACAGACAACATTACCTCATTGGACGAGTTTCTGAGACGAATATATTTGCCCTGCGGGTCGACCTCAACGTCAGGTGCTGTGATTGAGCTCTGATTGGTCGAGCTGGTGTCGTTCTCCTCCAGCACTTCACATCTGTTTGCAATGTACTGAGAGGGAGACAACACACACACACACACACACACACACACACACACACACACACACACACACTATCATTCAGGACTAATCAGCTAGCTAACAGACAGACAGATGGATGTTGTCAAACACATTGTGTCTCTAGATTGGAAATGTCCTCATTACAGATGAAAATCAATAATTTATAAAGAAGTTTAAAAGAAAGTGAGAGGAAAACTCAGCTCCATTAATAAACAGTGTTTAGGGTAAAAAATAGACCTTGGGCTCTGGTTCCTTGTTTGAGTTCTCCACTTTTCTCTCAGCTTCCTTCCTTTTCTTCTTCTCCTCCTTAAACTTCTTTTCCCACTGGGAGGAAAAAGAGAGATGAAGAGAGATTTTTTTTTTTCGTGCACTTAATATCCAGGTCTGAAAACTACGTTCTGATTGGCTGTAGGTTGTCATTTATGACCTTTTAATGTGCCCATAGTTGAGTCAGGTTCAACCTCTGTTTATACTGTGAATATATACTGTAAATATCAGCTGTAACAATCAGTGTACTACTCAACTGATGAATTCAACATGTAATTCTGAAATAAGAGCATTAAAGTAAAGAAGCAGAATGTCTCAAAGTCAGCAGTGTCAGCAGGGTTCAACAACAAAATCTAATCTTTATCATATTTATAGAATGAATACATTCACTGTTACACTGCTCTGTGTTTCTGTCAACCTGAGTCCACTGTCCACAGTCAGATCTGCTCTCGTGGTTAGTTTGATCATCTTCTCAGCTACAAATCAGTGTCACATTTTATCATATATAAGATTAAAAGAATTTTATTCAGGTGAAAAGGTGAACCTCCTTGTTTCTGATCTTCAGCTCCTTCAGGTCTTTCTCAGCTTTCTCTGCTCTCTGCTGCTCGTGCCAGAGCTTCTGGTCCAACTGTGAGGAAGGAGAGATGAAGAGAGACATTTTATTTCATGAAGTTAATGTGCAGTTCACATTAAGGTCTGAATGGACTCTCATGTGTGATGATCTGATGGTGTGATAGAACACTGTTCATGTACAGTTTGTCTCAGGTTGAATCAGTTTACCTTCAGTGGATTTATACTGGAAACACTATCTGACTGTTGTCTGTCCTGAACCACCAGAGTGGACTAATCATTGCACAGCTTTTTAAACATTGAGTTTAACACTGATAACAACCAACTGTCTGATTTGATATTAAATATTAAATCTGGACATCAGGATGATTTTCCATCTGTTACACCAACAATACTCAGTAATGTGATGCCTCTAGTTTAGAAATTAACTAAGTATTAGTTAACTGTTAATAACTCACTGAGAATGTGCTTTATAGGATTCACAGTAAACATCTTAAAATAACAGAGATTGTTCTTGATTCTGTTAATAATGTTACATTATTATATTTCAGAGAGCTGGAGTTTGAATGCTGTACAGCACTGACAGTGGCACATTGTGTGGATCTCAACATTCTTGATCAATATTGATTTTAACAGTGTTAATCTGCAGGAATTAACCAATGGATAAAGAATCTGAGACAGTTGAACCTTAATGTTCTAACATTTGTGTTTTCCTCTCAGAACTGATTACTGAATACAACACTTTTATAAGACTTGGTTTAAAGAGGTCTAACAGAGAGTCTGACCTCTAACTGACCTCCAACATAAACGTCACTGTGGAGAATGTCATACTCTCTATGGATGACTTTTAGCAAATACAATATATATTTGTTCATGCACAGACATTATAACATTATAAACCATAGAATATTTCTTATTTAGTGTAATAACAATACTTTATGCTAATTTCTGTATTGTGTCATCAGCAAACATGCAGTTCAGTTAGTGGCAAACAGAATGGTTACTACTTATACAATAATACATTTCTTTATATTTTGATTTCAAAAGAAAATAAATATATATTTAAAGGAAAAATTATTGTTGATCTATTATTTCTACACATACAACAGATGAGGTCAGAGGGGTTGTATGAGGCAGTAAAGCCAAAGTCAAGAAAAGCCAGTGGCTTCAGTTTAATATTATCATCTTAATTTTTTTAAATGTTGTTATTGATTTAAATCAGCTTTAGATAAAATAAAATTATGAAATTCAAAACTAAAACACACAAATACAATACGATATGTGTATGGAAAGAAAACTATAACAATAATCGACAATACCACAATAAAATATGTAAGACAGATTATATAATAGTGAATATTCACTAGTATTACTCATAGTAGTGGTGGTGGGAACACCACATTAACATAAACATAAGATGGTTTTGGTCTTGACTCCTGCTTTTGACATGATCTACTTTAAAAAGGATTTTAAACCTGCTCCTGATATTTGTCATTGTATAAGTTCTAATAAACACAGAATGCAGCAGTGAAAGTGGGAAGGAAAAGAAAAGTGCAGCTGTGAGACATTTAAGTTAGTAATGATCAGATGAACCTCTTTGTTCTTGGTCTCCAGCTGATTGTACAGGGTGTCCACTTCCTTCTGCCTGTTCTGTTTCTCCTGCAGGAGCTGACTGATTTCAGCCTGTTTTCCCTCCAACTGGGAGTGCAGAGAGACATGGAGACAGACTGTGAGAGACTTACACCTATTTTAGATATGAGAGATCATATAAGACATTAACTAAACACTCAACTCTACTTCAAGCTCTGATTCATTCAGCATTTGAAGTACTTTCAGTCTTGACTTGGACTGTAGATGTGTTGAACTGTTTGTTGTGATTGTAGTTTATTTCATATTTATTCATAACATTTCAAATGCAGAAATAAAATAAAAATGTATAATGTTCTATTTTATGGAAGACACTAAATTAAAATGGGATTTTGTTGTTGTTTATTTGATAACTTTTTTGTTTTAGTTTAATTGTCAGATTTTATTTGTGTCATTGTGATTTTAAGTCAAATTGAGAACATTCAGCTTTCCTATTAGAAACTCTGCAGTTCCACAGTTTGACCAGTAAAGCAGCAGCTCTTCCTTCAGTGAGTATAAAGGAACATTTGTGACCTGAAGTCAGTTTTGTTCAATACAGCACACATCTGTCTGTGTAAGTTTGTCTTGTGGAGTTTTCTCTGCTGATTTTGTTAGTTTCTATCAGGAAATATCAGAGTGTATAAATTGTACTTCTACGTTACAACTTACCCAAGATGAAGGAGACCGGACCGGAGCAGCTTGGCTTCTTTCCAACTGGGATAAAAGAGAGAGGTTAAGAGATACATGTTCTTTATTAAATATATTTAGTGGTTTATTATCTAAACCATTAAACAAATTATTTAACCATAAAGGTTCCCTGTGGACTTTTAGACCCCTATTAGCGCTATGGAGCTTATTTGTTTTAATGAGTGAGTCCCCAGTTTGTGCACGAGAACACACTTGAATACACACATGTGGCAGACACACACTCCAAACAGTGGTTTCACACTATTCCTCTGATCTACAGGATACGCTGCAATGTGCCAACAAAGACAGGGAAGAAGACTGCGAGCAGGTAAACATTGCATTTTAAAATACTTTGACTTTGTAAAAGAACACAATGTGTTTTAGTGAGTTACTCTGGACAAAAGGGCAGCTTTAAGTTTATGGTCTAAATTGTTCAACACATAAAGTCAAGATGATTTTTGATCTGTGATCAAAACTTATTCGCTGGACACCAAATATTACTGCAAATATTCAGATGGTTTTGGTTAAAGTAGAAAGATGAACCTCCTTGTTGTTGGACTCCAGATTCTCCATCAGGGTCCGCAGGTTGGTCTCCATCCTCTGAATCTCATCCTGGAGCTGCTGGACTTCAGCTTGTTTGTCTTCAACCTTGAAGGAGAAAGAAAATGAGAGGCAATGTGACATACATTTAGTATTAATGCACATTAGAAGTGATGTACTACAGTACCAGAGAAACAGTCAAACCTATGGAATGATGATTTGATTTGTAATTCTTATTTAAGCTGCTGCCAAGAGATAAACATTTCTGAATTAAGTAACTATTAAGTTGCTATTTAATTGGTACAAATGCAATGACCAGTACAAAGCACACACTGTCTTTCCCACAACATAATTATTTTCCTAAAAGAAAGTATATTTACGTTCAAGTGACATAGTACTCGTAGTAATTATGACTCAAGTAAAGGAGGAAGTCCTTCTCTATGTTCTGATTTTTAATTTAGGTCACTACAGAAGCAGTAGGTTCTGTGCTCACATAGTGTAACACTGAAATCTGCAGCCAAAGGAAAATGCTGAGAACAATGGAGACACAGTTTAATGACTGATAATACCAAGGTGATGAGAGTATGAAAGCAAATACGTAAATAGCTGAAAAATAAAATCTTTTAAAGAAAAAAAAAATAGAAACCTGTTTGATTTTGATGTCTAATTCCTTCTGATGAGTCTCCATCTTCTTCTTCAGTGTCTCCACTTCCTGCTCAGCTTTATTCTTCTTCTGCTCTTCTTCTTTTCTGCCTCTCTGGATCATTAAAACATGTGACTGAACATACTATACAGTGACACATATGGCAAATAAATGAAGCCTCTGGTTATTGCTGGATAAAAAGAGAGAAATATCAGCAGAACATTTTAATGGCAAAGTTTAATTTCAGGTCTGTGGGTGGTGACCCCTGACTTCCCCTCAGTATGTGCTGTACACATTCACATTCTCTCTGCTGCTCTCTGTTTGTATAAAGTAGTTCAGAGCTGCACAATTTAAGTGTTAATGAAGTTGATAAAGAAAATGGAGGACCAGCAGAGAATGCCGTCTGTCTGTGTCAGCATTGCTCTCATTCACAGACTAGTGACAAGATGCATCACAAAAATAATGGATATATTACAATAACAGACTTTCTAGTTATTTTTTTGTGTGATGGCACCTCAGAGTGTATTATTGCATTCAAACCATGAGCACTTACCAAAGGCCACCGGGATAGCATGGCTTGGATTGTCTGCAGCTGGGAGGGAGAGATAGAGACATTAGTACCACATTAAAGCTTGTGAATAATTATACAACCAAATAACAGTTAAACTAAACACAATATGTAACTTATACAGTCAGTTAAATTTTATATGCAACATTACTGAGTACAAGTTCAATAACACAAACATAGTCTAGTTGGATTCTCAAACAACAGAGATGATGAGACATCTCAGTAAATGAAGATGAAGATGAAGACATGAACCTCTTTGTTCTTGTTCTCCAGCTCTTTCTTCACGGTCTGCAGGTTGTTCTGGTGCCTCTGCCTCTCTTCACGGAGCTGCTGCAGCTCATCTTGTTTCTTTTCAACGACAGAGAGACAAGTTTGACTGTGTCTACACTATGGATGACATAAGAATGTGACTTCAAACTAAAATAAAAGTGAATATTGTTAAAGTGAAGTTGAACCTCATTCTTCCTCGTCTCCAGCTCCTCTGAGAATAGAATGAGGACCCTCTTCACTCTATTCTCAGCTTCCTCCCTCCTCTGCTGCTCCGTTTTCTGCTTATTTAACTGAAAGAGAGGACAGAGACAGGATGTGAGACATGATTTTATTCGGGGAGGTTACTGAAGACACTGCACAATAACACGTGTGTCACAGCCTTGGTATTTAGGTGCAGTTGAGAAATGTCAGACATTAAAGTAACAAATATTTAACAGAATTATTATGAGTGAAAGTCTGCAGTGGTTCAGACTAGTTTTAGTAAATCAAACTTGCACTTTAGGAACATGGACACCATAAGTTGGTCAAAAAAACATTTTTTTTAATTTATTTATTACACCTACATGTTGTATGAAATGTGCTCTATAAATAACATTGACATGCTGTCTTCTCATTTCAGATCATGTTGCTTTATTGTTCTATACTCAGATGAAACTTATCGTGTTTGTTTTCTCTCTGAAAGCAAAGTCCTGTTTCTTTACTTACATGTTTGTTCTTCTTTTTCCCTTTTCCCTCGTTCAAAACCTCCATTTGCACTGTTTCATCTGCCATGAGTGTCTCTCTCTGATCTTCAGTTTTGTTTCTTTTGGAGCAATTCCTCTCCTCTCCTCTACCACTGTCACCCCAGTGGCTTCCCTTGTTTACTGTGTAAAATAGAATTAAAGCATGAGCATTTCTTCAAGCATTTTTTTTTTTTTTTGCATTTTCAGAAGGTATCCTAGCAAATGAATATTTCAGTCTAAATAAACCTGACAATGTGACTGATTGGAATTAAAAGTTAACAAATCACCATATTTTTGTATCAGCACTATAAGCTGTAATATACTGATGTTTTAATAGCTTTTATCAACTTATTTTCACAAACAACTAATTCACATCACTCTTACTAATTGTACCTGTGAGAATAACTTGACATTTTTAAACCACTGCAATTTATTTGTGACTTACTGATTATGTTTTGTCTCCATTTCCACACAAAGAAGACAAGTAACAGAATAAGCAGGATACAAACAGCCAAACTAACAGCCAGACCAACTGTGAGAGTAAAAGAACTGGACTGGACCTCGAAGAAATCATCTGAAATGAAACAGAATTACATATAGAAAACTAGAACTCAGCTATTTGAAACTACAAATGATCACATTAAACAATATTATGTAATAATGATAATAATAATATAACATTTAGACCTGCTCTATGTAAAAAGTCGAGATATCTGATGAATTGAATTACCAGAAATATAGATGTGTGTCTCTCTGGTCTGGTTGATGTTCTTCTGTTGGACTCTACAGGTGAAGTTGTTGCTGTGTCTCTTCTCCACAGTCACTCTGCTGCTGACAGTATAGAGGTCATCAGGACCTCTGACTGTCTCTGTAGGTCCAGCAGAGAGGAGGTTTCCCTCACCGTCCAGCCAGACCACCTCAGGCTCTGGATACCAGCCTTTAGACTCACACTGTAGAACTACTCCACTGGTGTCTTTATCAATGCCAGCCAAACTTAAAACCGGTGAAAAGACAGCAGCTGCAAAAGGAAATATTTTAAACAGTGCTAACATTGGAAGCGGACGCTCATAAATAGTGCATCAACAAATCCTGAATGGTTGCTATCTGATGACACAAATCTTGAATTCTGAAATCTAAATGGTGTTTGTATCAGAAAGGTGCTATAATAATAAACTAAGCTACTGTATGTCAATGCTACTAAAATTAAGCATAAGGACTGGGTGAAATGCACCATGAACATGTACAATATGTATGCACTTACCAACAACTAGCTGAACAGAAGATTGCTTTCCTGGTGATGGAATAAAGCATCTGTACGTTCCCTGATCACCAATCTTCACTTTGGAGACTTTCAGTGAAATGTTTCCCAGCTTCAGCTCATCGATGAACAGTGACGTTCTTCCCTCGAAGGAAGGATGTTTTTTACTCTCAAGTTCTTGACCATCACGCCACACATGGACAAATCTGGGGTTCAGGTCAGCTCTCGTCCACTCCAGTGTCAAACCAGAGGCATCTTCCGCAGGGTCCAGATGACAAGGCAAAATTATGTCGTGGCCAAGTGTTGCTACTATTGGCTGAGATGAGCCAATCAGCTGAAACTGACCTGGAAAGACAAATGTGTTTTTTTCATATTGATAAAGGAAGTATTTTTAAAGGACCTCAATTGTTTGACTGTGTATGAAATAGAGCATATAGTGAAGTAAAAATCATTCAAAGTAATAATGTCTTTACTGTAAAAGAGGTCTAGAACACAATTGGGAGCATTTCTTGTTAGTATTTTAGCACTGATAGTTGACAGAGACAGTCAGGAAATACTTACACAATAGTGACCTATTAAGATTGTATTTGTGTATAAGTTACCTCTACAGAAGTGTGTTAGAAGAAGATGGAAAACCAGAACAATGAGGGGTGTGGGATGAGATTTAAGGAGCTTTGTGTCTGCGTTAAGCATCTTGGAGCTCTGAAAATGAAGAGAAACCAGTGCTTACAGAGATAACTGGCAAAGGGAAAAGATTTGGAAATGATATCTATCTATCTCTCTATCTATCTATCTATCTATCTATCTATCTATCTATCTATCTATCTATCTATCTATCTATCTATCTATCTACTGAACATCACAACAACACCAACAAATAAAAATCAAATATCTAATGCGCCCTCCAGTACATTACACAGATTATATTTATTATGTTATATTCAGTGTTTGATTCACATACTTCATACCTGTGAGAACCCGTTTGCTCTTCCTTCAGTCTTACTGCTGACAGCTTTAAAATATTGACAAAGTGTCACAGCATTATGCTCTCCATAAGTTAGTCTATGACTAGTTCAATAAATATCACGTTATACTTTTATAGTTTAAGAAAACTTAAAATATGTTTGAAGCTGCAATAGTAATTTGAAATTATATCACGCTAACAACCATTTCAAAACCCAGTACCTCCGGTGCGTGACTATCATCACTGTAAAAACTCCCTAGAACAAGAACAGAACTGACCGATGTTTTGTTAAAATGCTCAAAATTCAAATAACATTTTAAAACAGTTGAAATCAGAAAGCAATTCAATTCATTGACTTCCATTTGAAATACAACTGGCTGACACAGAGGCAAGAAGAAAAGAAATACTCACAACTCAGAATGCAGACCCACTTTTTTTAGATTTCTAATTTATTTTACATTAAATGTTAGACGACGATCACATACCTGTTGAGTGTTGCATTTCAGAGTCACCTCAACTGACTCGGTGGCAAAACTCTGTCAAAGGTCAGGAGCCTATAAATGATTGACAGTTTTTACAGTTGCTCCAACTGCAGTTTATTTCTCAATTGTTTTTTTCCTCTGACCGTCAAAGTGGTGATTCACTGTTGTGCCATGTATTGTTTTCAGTGAGTAAATGTCTCTGCAACAAGACAAGACACATTTGTTGCTGTTGCAATTTTCTATCATCAAAAAACTCACCCTTAAAACAGACACACAGGCCTTAGGCAGCAGAATGTAATATACATTAATAATTAATACCTTTACGATGATTAGGTTTAAACTATATATATAACATAATTATAGACACTTTAAAAACATGGAAAGATTATAGTGATATTTGTATCTTTTCGATAGCCAAGCTGAGTTTCCCTTACACTCCAATTAAATCTGGTAGTTGCAGAGGACCATGAACAGCATTAACAGCACAGCATGGCAACAACTTAAGAAAAGCAAATGCTCTCTCGGTTTTTCTGCAGCTTTTGTATTGTTTCAAACTGCAAGCAACAGCATCAAAATCACTGTCACTGAAATTTCTATAAAAAGTCATTGTATGAAATCAATGGGATTGTTTCCTTAAATGTTAAAAAACGAGAGAAAGCTTAAAGAAGAGATGAAACTGACAACTTCTCACTCACTCCCTGAATGTTTTTCCCCCAGCTGATTCTGTGATCCTGGAGAGTCCAGTCCTCCCTGTGAAGGAGGGTAACAATGTGACTCTGAGCTGCAGAAACAAGACGACTTCCTCCAACCTCACAGCTGGTTTGATTAAAATAGTTGTAAAAACAGCCATGTTTCATTATTTTCCCATCTTACATTCATCATTCGCAACACAAAATGTATCATTTGAGAGGAGGGCCACAAGAATTAAAAATGATAATAATGGAAGTTACAGAATGTATGTGAAATTAAAATAGTGATTAATTGTTAATTGATTTGATAAACTTGATTGATATTTTGATTGACAGCTACTGTGATAACCACAAGGCTGTGTGTCTACCATTCAAAACACCCAACTGACAGCTACAGAAAGATGTTCTTGCAAGCATCCTGATTTGTCACTACTACAGCGACTGGTTGAGCCTTGTTCCTGGAGAAACAGGTTCTTGCTTATAAGTGTTGCTGCAACACTTATAGAGTTTTTTTTTTGTATGCTGTGTAGCAATATGTGTTCTTTGCTAATCTTCACAGGATCTTATCTGAGCTCTTATGTTACTTTCAGGTGTGTGCCCCCACTAAGGTCAGAGAACAGAGAACAGAGAGATCAGCTTGTCTAAGTCTCTATCAGCAGAAAAGGTTGGGACATCAAATAGTTCAAGCAGGAAGACCTTCTCAGTGAGCCTCATTCATTCACAATTATCTCACTCTTCTTTCTAATCACCTATGGCTGTTTACTCTTTCAGCTAATTCAGAGTTCACCACAGTCTCCTACAGCCAATCATGTTGCTTTGAATCTGTTCTCCTCCCTGCTGCTTTCAGCTGTCATTTCAGTGCAAAATTGTCTCATCGAACTCCTACAAATTCAACACATTTCAGAAAAAGCAGCTGGTTCAGTGATCCTGGAGAGTCCAGTCCTCCCTGTGAAGGAGGGCAACAATGTGACTCTGAGCTGCAGAAAGAAAATAACTGTCTCCAACCTCACAGCTGATTTCTATAAAGATGGCCTCCTCATGGGCAGCAGCTCTACAGGAGAGATGATCATCCACAGTGTTTCCAAGTCTGATGAAGGACTCTACAAGTGTAAGATCTCTGGAGCTGGAGAATCAGCAGAGAGCTGGTTGGCTGTCAGAGGTGAGACATTGCACTGTTTATCTTCTAATGGTTGTATAAAAAGCAGAACAGCAACCTGATAGATGTTCAGTATGTACCAGAGTAATGCTACAGCAGCCCTTAGAGACAACCTGTGACACACTGTTAATACTGCCATGCTGTTACAGCACATATATCCTCTTGTCTTTGCAGCTCTTCACACAGAGACTTGTCCCTCCTCAGATCACTCCTTTAATGTTCTCCTCCTCTTAAGGACTGTGTTCACCATTGTGATGGTGGCTCTGCTGCTGCTGCTGGTGGGACTACTTCACTGTGGGAAACTCACAGTTACACACAGAAAACTCATGCTCATATATAAAGGTGACTGACATCATCTGTTTTTACTTTTCCTTTAGTTGAAATTTAAGGTGTAAGGTGTCCTGTTACGGCCGCCGCTTTAGTGTATATTCATTATGGTGTTTCATATGATTCCCTGTTGAGGATTGGTCCTTCTGGAGCAGAGACCGCCTACTTCCTGGTTGCTGTCCCCTGGCTTCAGTGATTGGTGTGGCTGCAAGTCCACTGAAGCTACCAATCAGGAGACTTCAATCAACACCAGCTGCACTTAAATAGCTTGTGTGTCCACAGTTCAGGGGCGGCTGTGAACCAGTGATCAGTTCGCCTAGCTGTCGTTTGCACACCATTGTGTTAGAGTGTTTGTACTTTCTAGTGTTGCCTGGCTGTTGTCTGAGTGGATTCAGCCAGTGCCTTTGTATCTTTTGTGACCCTTTAAGTTGTTCAGTAATTGCTAGTTTGGTTTTGTTTCTAGTTTGTAAGCGTATGGGTGCTGATCTCTTTTGTTCTCCAGTATTATCCAGACCTTTTCATTTTTGTACTAGTTATTTGTCAGCACCTGTATAGCCTCTCCTTTGTTGTATTTTATTGTGCAAGCATACTCTCCTTAATTAATTAAAACTCCTGATTTTAACCTGAACCTGTCAATTGTTGTATTCCATCCCTTTTTCCAATTCCAATTATATGTTACTGCTCCCAAATCGAGCTGGGTCGTAACA